CACACACACACACACACACACACACACACACACACACACACACTCTCTCCTTCTGTAAACTATCAAACATCGCTCTTGGCCAACACGGATAATCACTACAAGACATGAAGCGCCTCCTGCTTTACTACGTGTTACACTCAAGAGTTTTTACTGTTTCTGTTGGAGCTGCGTCGCTCTAACATGGTGCAACATTTGTAGAACATGTGACGTTTATTAAAGATGCTGCTCATGTGTTTCTGTCACAGGAAAGAAGGGCAATCCAATAAAAAGAAGTCTGCCCTACTTGTCCAGTATAGTAAATACAATGCTGCATTGATTTGGAGTCACTGGGTCACATGACATGGAAACTATTGGAACAAATCAGCTGCATTTTCATAAAAATATTCCTTTTAATTAGGACAAGTACTCAAATATAATAAAGACAGGTGTGTCCAATGTAGAAATACAATGCTGCATTGGTTTAACAGAGTCACATGACATGTTATTAAAAGGAATCAGGACTTTTCAAAATAAAAAACAGCTCAATAATAGAGGCAATATTAATATAAAATGGGGTTTTTACATACGAAAAGTTATTTTTATTTGCCTGAATTTGACCGTTGGATTTTATTTTTTGTCAATTTGTTCAACTATAGCTTGCTAATAACTTAAAAACTGAACCGTTGTTATTGGAAGGGCTCTCCAAAAACTCAATTGTTATGGTATTGGAGTAATACTGCTGCTTATTCTAATTTTGGGGTTTAGTTTGTGTTGAGTTTTGTATTGATTTTAAATGCAATTACAAAAACTAAATCCAGACTGTGTTCAGTTTTCTTAACAGGGATTCTGTATCTGGACAGAGAGATTGTTCATGAATATATTTAATACGTTTTACACATTTCTTAGTACTGTGGTTGAGTAGAAATTGCAAAGGCAACACGGTCTGCATGGACATCCCACAATAGTTCAAATAAATCCTGTTGTTTTTTGGGTAAATTGGTGCGCTGAACCTCAAAGTGGAGTTACTCAGTTAGACAAAACCAATCCGTCTCGTCTCCAAACTGAACCTCTGTTTAGTTTCTTAAAGATCTCCTATAAAAAAAAGAGGATTATCTCTGAAACAGTATGGAGCTCAAACTCTTTCTCTCTCTCAGGTTTACCACAAGGTGAGTTCCTTTTTATTTCCTGCTTCTTTACACACATGCTCTCCATTACAGGTTAGCTCTGAGTGTTAGCGATGCTAATGTAAACAAATACCATATTACGTCCAAAACACGTCAGGCATTGTTTCTGATAGCGATGTTTCTGATTGGCCTTTGGGTGTAAAGCCCGTCTACATTTCAGATATTACGAAAAGAGAGGGTTTTGTTTTCTGACACTTTGTTTCAAGGTTTCAAGGATTCAAGGCTTTTATTGTCATGTGTGCGTAGCTACAGTGTAGTTATGACAATGACAATCTGAGGTCACAGGCTCCTCCAACAGTGCAACACAATAAAACTGATAAAATAGTACAAGTAAATATAATATAATAGAAACAGAATATGATAGAAACTGTGCAGAATAGTCAAACAGATGAATGTTATGTATGTTCTTTCAAAAGTTCAGGTGTTGAGTCTCCTGACACACCGGGGACACATATGTATGTATACAACACATTATAAAAGTGCATTTTGCATGATAGGAGACCTTTTTAGCTACGAAACAGCAACATAATTGGTGGCCCTGCTGCAGCTCCGTGGGGGGGCTCAGGTCTGCGGTGGTCCTGCTCCGTGGCAGAGGACACGTCTCTGGTTTCCTGTTAACCGGTTCCAGCAGCGAGGCAGAGTTTGTCGTACAGTTGGTAATGATTTACAGAAAGATCAGGGCCTCTGCTCTCCTTAAGTCTCTCTCTTCTCATTCAGGAAGACGTGTTCTGCTTTCTGAATAATCTCAATGTCAATCTTTATTTATATATATATATATAGCACATTTAAAACAACCTCAGATGACCAAAGTGCTGAACAGAGAACAAATGCAATATCAAATAATAATTAAAAACAAGATAAAAAAGCACAATAACTAGAAATATATAAAAACACATACGAATAATAATAATAATACATTTCATTTATATGGCACACTTTAAAAACCACGTCATCTCAAGGTGCTTCCCAATGCTATGAGGAGAACATACAATAGAATAAAAAGTTATCTCAGAGCATATTGAACAAAAGATGGTTATATAAAAAAGCTTAAGAGCATAAAAGAAGGTCTTGAAGTTCTTCGAAAATGGATTTGTGACTCTCTAGATTTCTGTCCTCTCATCTGTCTCTAGAGAAGTGATGACGTACTTTGACTTCATGCAACCTTAGTTGATTGTTTATTCCTATTTTGTTTATGTTTTTGGTTTCTGTACTTCTTGAGTTCTTGAATAACCCATTTTTGTTTATTCCTTTTTTTTATTTATCTTATTGTTTCCTGAACGTTTTGAGTTCTTGGGAAATCAATGTGTGACTCAAGGCTTTCTGTATTCTGATCCTGAAATCATTCGGATGTATCTCTATCAGTCAGGGAGACATGGTTTAAAACAGAAGAGGCACTATCCTGTCTCTAGAGACGTATATTTATATTGCTTTTATAAAACGGTTACCAAGTGTGGCAATATGAAAGAAAAATACACACTCTAATTTAAATAGTTTTTATTAGTAAATAATGACGTTCAAAATAAAATAGTCCCTCCGTTGCCTTCTGCACGAAACACAGTGCGAGGTGGTTGCTATGCAACAACACTAACAGCTAGCGAACATATCAGACAGAGAGCGTTGATCCATTATTTGGCTATTTATTTACATTAATTTGTATGTTGCAGTTTATTGTGCAGCCACTGAAAACCTGTCCAGCATCAGTAGCATGGCTTACGAGGTTACTTGTATAGGCTGAGGTTGTTCGAGGCTGTTGCTTGGCGTGGAGAGAATATTGCTCCACTTTCTCCGATCAGTTGGTCTACCTGCTCTTCACGTAGCTCTGCATGTCGTCGTTTAGGTGCTTTCTGGAGATAGGCACTGCTCAATCCACTCCTCCATAGCGAGGCCACCCCGGAGGTCCAAGTTAACCTTACATGTTTCCATCTTAAGCTTTGTTAGTTAGTTAGTTTCGTAACGGACGTAATGTAACAGTTGTAACGGTTGTAGCTGTTTCTCAGACGCGGAGGGATACTGACTTGTGAAAAGTAAATTCTACCCGTGATATACGCTCATTATATCACGGCTAAGAACCAATCAGATTGCTTGATTTGACTTATCCGTTTTATAATGACCTTTTGATACCTTCATTGTTTCCCTATGTTGTTTATGTTTTAGTTTCCTGAACTTGTTGACTTCTTGAAAAACCAACTCGAGATGATTCTCTGGATTTTGGTCCTTTGCTGATTCGTCTATTTGGGTTTCCTGAAGTTCTTGAGTTCTTTAAATATACATTTGTGACTAGATGTGTGTCTGGATTTTGGTACTCAAATCTTTTGGGATTTAGGGTCTGTCAGTCAGGGAGACGTACTCCATGTTGCATGATTTAAAACAGAAGAGGCACTTTTCTATCTCTAGAGACTTCATGACGCTTATCGAGTTCATGCAACATTAGTTTTTAGTTTCTGTTCTTGTTTCCTGAACTTGTTGAGTTCTGGAAAGATCAAGTTGTTACTAGATATTGTTTATTTATTTATTTATTTATTAATGTTTGTCAGTCAGGTGGACTCGCTCCATGTTTCTTGGTCGAGGCACTCTCCTGTCTCTAGAGAGGTTATGACGTTTGTTGACTTTATTTAACCTTCGTTTTTCTGGTTTATCTGTGTTTTGTTTCTGTTCCCTGAACTTTAGGAGTTCTTGAAATATCAGTTTGTGTCTCTAGATTCTTGTCCTCAGGTCATCTGGGATGTAGGTCTGTCAGTCAGGGAGACATACTCCATGTTACATAAAACAGAAGGGGCACTTTTCTGTCTCTAGTGACTTTATGACGTTTATCGACTTCATGCAACATTCGTTTCTCGTTTCTGTTTTTGTTTCCTGAACTTTTTGAGTTCTTGAAAGACACATTTTTGACTAAATGTGTCTCTGGATTCTTGTCCTCAGGTCATCTGGGATTTAGGTCTGTCAGTCAGGGAGACGTACTCCATGTTGCATAAAACAGAAGAGGAACTATCCTTTCTCTAGAGACGTAATGACGTGTATTAACGCAATGCAACCTTAGTTCTTGTTTCCTGAACTTCTTGAAGGATCCATTTGTGACTCGAAGCACAGTGAAGCACTTTGGAAGTTACCATTCCAGATTCCACATTGTCCATAAATGTCAACGTTTCTCTTTAATACTGACAATGTAAGTCCTTCAAAGCTGCAGCGCCTGAGGACAGAGTACTTCTGACTTCTCCCTTCATCCCTTATTGCCTTTTTTTTCTTTTGCTACCGACGCTAATCCTTCCTCCGTCCTCTGACATCTAGTTTCCTGACTCTTAAACATCACAGCGTCACATAATTCAACAAGAACATGAGACTACATGTAGTCATGTCCAGCATTTGATGTAGACCCATTAAGGTGGGGGAGCTGCCGGGCCACAACTACATACATGTAAACACACACACGCACACACACACACACACACACACACACACACACACACACATACTCTCTACCGACCTACACACAGGTATAAAAGCCGCCCATGTGTTTCTAGTCTTGTTCCTTATGGGCCACATGATACACTTCCCGTCTCAACAGGAAAACTCTCCTGTAAACCAGCCTCATTAGTGTGTGTGTGTGTGTGTGTGTGTGTGTGTGTGTGTGTGTGTGTGTGTGTGTGTGTGTGTGTGTGTGTGTGTGTGTGTGTGTGTGTGTGTGTGTGTGTGTGTGTGTGTGTGTGTGTGTGTGTGTGTGTGTGTGTGTGTGTGTGTGTGTGTGTGTGTGTGTGTGTGTGTGTGTGTGTGTGTGTGTGTGTGTGTGTGTGTGTGTGTGTGTGTGTGTGTGTGTGTGTGTGTGTGTGTGTGTGTGTTTAGGAGCGACCCCCCGGCAGGATCCAGTAAGCAGCAGCCGCCCCCCCGCCGCTCTACAGAGGCTGCAGCAGTAGAGGACCTGTTTGATGACTTTTGACCCGTTGACTTCCACTCTTTTTCCTCAGGACTGCACAGAGAGACGACACTGGGTGTTATGGATATGGTGGATTGTTTGTATACTGGATGTATGTGTTAAAGGGTTAGTTAAATTATTTAAAAGGGATTGTTCCTGTTACAACATAAAGAATGGGGGATGAAGGTGAAACGGCAGGTCGGTTTTGGTCTCCTTCTTGGAGACTCTTTTGCTGTACAGATAATAAACTTTCACCTGATTTGTAATGATCATCTGACGATGTTTTGAGAACACATTTTGTATTTTACGATTTAGATTTTCTCATTTGATGTAAAAAAAAGCAGAAACATACAAACCTCAATGTTAAAATATATAAATAAACATTAACAATCTTTCTAATCCTCGCTGCAATCACCCTTAGGAACCACTCAAATGTCTTAAATTATATTTTTATAAATCGGGAAACGTAAACCATTTTCCATAACCTTCATGAACTGGAAGTGAATTGTGATTTCTACAATTAAAAAAAACTTGTGATTGTAATTTTTGAACCAATAAACAGTGAATGTGTTGTTTGTGTGTTGAAAGTTATTATTATTAATCAAGTACTTTTTATGTGTGATCTCTGCTGTCTAAACCCATCTGTGAGGTGACTGTGAACTCATCTCTGATTGGCTCATTTGTTGTTTTCGAGGATGCGAGGCATACACTAATGTTTACAGAAGTAAAGATTTATCTTGGCTGTGATTGGTTGTTCCTCGTCACATGACGGATGCTCTCGCCTTGATTGCAGAATATTTTTAACATTAAAGCATGGAGACATGTCCCAGTAGAGACACTACATACTGATATACACCTGAACATCAGCAGGAGAGGACTCTTTAAAGTAGAGACACTACATACTGATATACACCTGAACATCAGCAGGAGAGGACTCTTTAAAGTAGAGACACTACATACTGATATACACCTGAACATCAGCAGGAGAGGACTCTTTAAAGTAGAGGCACTACATACTGATATACACCTGAACATCAGCAGGAGAGGACTCTTTAAAGTAGAGACACTACATACTGATATACACCTGAACATCAGCAGGAGAGGACTCTTTAAAGTAGAGACACTACATACTGATATACACCTGAACATCAGCAGGAGAGGACTCTTTAAAGTAGAGACACTACATACTGATATACACCTGAACATCAGCAGGAGAGGACTCTTTAAAGTAGAGACACTACATACTGATATACACCTGAACATCAGCAGGAGAGGACTCTTTAAAGTAGAGACACTACATACTGATATACACCTGAACATCAGCAGGAGAGGACTCTTTAAAGTAGGATAATATGCCCTCTTTAATCGGAGGAGTTCCCCTTGAATGTCTCTCTCTCAGGCTTTCCCCAGTCTCACTTCCTCCAGCCCTCCCCCTCTCCCCCTCTCTCTCTCCCCGCACTGGGCGGTGTATTTTCGGGGGAGGTGTCCTCTCTTACAGTATGTCGGGGACACATAGGATCTGCGGTGGATTTGAACTTGCTGCAGAGCTGAGGAAGAGGAGCAGCTGAAACACGCTGAGAGTCTCAAACATCGGGGACTTCTGTCTGGAGATCTCTCTTTTTTCGGAAAAGTTTTCAAGTGATAACGCAACAGGAGCAGCTGGATTTCCTTTCTGTTTTTTCTCTTTACAAGGTAAGATGTGGCTTTTGTTCCTGTCTCTGAAACTTTAAAATTGTGTCAAAATGTTTTCTTGTAGAATGTGTTTGCACTTTATTCGCATGTTGTTCTCTGCATGTGTGTTACCTCCGGAGGAGCCGTCTTTTGGGGGTCAGGAATGTTCCCACAGTGATAAAACTAAACGATAAGACTCCCATTGATAAAAGTGACAGTTGGGACCATTTACATCCATTTAAATCCACTGGCAGTTTAACCTCCTGATCAGCTGATAATCTTTATCAGCCCAGCTGCTGATCTGCTGCAGCTGGGCTCTAATAACACTTTAATAACACGTCTTTTGAAACACGATAAAACCTTGTTAATGCATAAAAAGAGCGCTAGAGCAACAATATACTCCTTAAATACGTAAATATAAAATATCTACATATATGCAAAAACATACAGCACTGACAAACGATCACAATGACAGAATTACTCAGATGTAAAGCTTTAATAACTACTACGAGGAATTTAATGAGCAGATGTGTTGAACATTAATATTTTTAATTAGTCTTTTGTCAATTATCATGTATTCTCTGCTTCCCTTATGTCTGTTCTTTGACTTATTGTATTCAATATTTCAATTGTTGCGCTTTCAGTCAGATGAAATCATGTATTTGTTTGCTTTGACTTTAGTAAGAAGCAGTTTATATGTTAATATAAGACATTTTATTGATTAATGACGAAATAATCCACAGATAAACGAAAGGGGGGTTATTTTCTGCAACTTTAAAAAATGTTTACACATTTCTTACCGTGTAAAAAATATAGATTAAATAATAAAAACATATTTATTTTTCCTGTAACTTTTGAGTAAAAATGCATAAAATGTCAGTAAAATGTTCTTAAAGACCTTTATCTCGGTCAGTGTATTAGATATTATAATATTACATTATTTGTATAGATGTGTTACTGTGTAATTTTTTTTTACCATAATATAAAATAATATACATAATGTTAAAAAAATAATTTTGTGAAATTTTCAGTAAAAGTGTAGAAAAATTATCAGTAAAATGTAGTTAAATTACTATGAATTAATTTGATTTAAAAGTAACTAAATTAGATACCAATCTGCAGAAGTAGTACGTTTCTCCGACCTTTGAATCTCAGTTCAACACCTGGATGTATACCTGCAGGATCTGTGACATCACAGCTGGTGTGCAGCCAATCAGGACGCAGCGTAAGGAAAGTTGCAGCCTGAGAGAAACAGCTGTTCAGAGAGGCAGGAGGCGTCTCTGAACAAATGGGACATTTCTGACATGGAAAATATTTGGATAATAATGGAGGGGAAGAAAAGAGGAAACTATTGAAATGTCAAAATTGTCTAGAAGCACAACATGTAAACAAATACTTAGATTCCCTTAAAGGTCCCCTATTATACTCTTTTTCAACAATACATTCCAGGTCTCAGATATATCCAGAGCCTGTCTCTGATTGGCTGAAATACCAAACAGATCATTGCAGCATCCCATAATCCCCTCTGTTTCAGCCCTGTTTCAAAAGTGCTGATTCTGTGTCTGTAGCTTTAAATGCTAATGAGCTACTGCTGGCCACGCCCCTCTGAGAGATGATTGGTTTAAAAAAACACAATGGTGCTCTAGGAGGAGATTCAGGTGATAAGATGGGGGGGGGGGTTACCTTGGTTGGTGATTGGCTAATGGTTACTCAACTGAAAAAAACATGACATTGTGACATCACAAAGTGACCAACATCTGATCAGCTGATTTTCCGTTTTTATAGAGATGGATCAGGACAGAAAGAGAGGGGTCTTTGTTCCTGACACTTTCAGAATCTACATGTTTATGTAGAAAAGACAATTTAGCATTATAGTTGACCTTTTAAAGCTTGAATATCAGAATTGGTTCAAAGTACTTAATTCTCTTCCTGTGTTTGCACAACACCGATCAGAAGTTGATATATTTCTCCTTTTATAAACGATATCACTTCTTCTTCTCTGTTTCTGTGCAGGTTGTTGAGATGATTCCTCTCCTCCTGCTCTGCTGGCTCAGTCTGAGTTTCGCTCAAGGTGAGTCCATCCTGCATCCATCCAAAACATTACATCACCCTCCTCTCCCCTCCTCTCTCTCTCTCTCTCTCTCTCTCTCTCTCTCTCTCTCTCTCTCTCTCTCTCTCTCTCTCTCTCTCTCTCTCTCTCTCTGTGACGTAGATTTTAAAACACATCACACACACATTCAGCTCCAAGTGGAAAGTGATTATTACTCCAACACACACACACACACACGCACACACACACACACGCACATACGCACACACGCACGCACACACACACGCACACACATACACACACACGCACACACACACACACACACACACACACACACACACGCACACACACACACACACACACACACACACACACACACACACACACACACACTAGCAGCAGCCCACTACTTGCTACAAACTTAAATATGAAAAGGTTCAACTACGTTTCTTCTTCGGGCTCGCGCAGCACGCTCACAGGCATAGATTGTGCAATATTTGATTGCACACCTTGGAGGTGAAGTGCAGGCATATTGTCACACACATGTTAGAGATGCTTGTGTAATAAGGAGACATGCAGAGCAATCAGAATCAGGGGTAATTTATGACCATTTTGGAAATAAATGGTAAAAAATAAAAATTATAATAATTTAAAATAAAATACAAATAAGAAAATTGAAATAAAAGATAAAGAATAAAATACAATACAAATTAAAAAAATAAAATAAAATAGTAAATATAAAAAATAAAATAATAATGATTAAAGGGTTAGCGATGAGCGGGTGAAGTTTGACTACTTTTTGACCATTTTCATAGGAGTTATAGCAAAAACGTGTTTCATGGCGAGTAATGTGTTGTCATGGCAACGGCGTTTTAGCGAATCTCACAATTGTCATATAGACATGTTGAGGGCTGGACCATTAGCAATGATCTGAGGTCTGGTGCCATTTGGACGATTTTCTTAAGAGTTCTGACAACATCGTGTTTTATGGCGAGGGATGCGTTGCCATGGAAACGGCATATGGTGAGATCTCAGATTTGGCGTAGAGTTGTTGAGGCATGGAGTCGATCGGATAAAATCCCTAGGAGGAGTTTACTAAAGTACGGCGGGCGAAAACGTGATAAATCGCGTTTTTCCATTGCCAAATTCAAAATGGCCGACTTCCTGTACGTTTTTTTTATACACCTCCAAGAGGCTTTTTGTTTTCGTCTCCGCACCTTAAGGCCCTGACACACCAAGCCGATTTCGGCCGTCGATAGATGTCTGGCCGTCGATGACGCAGGAGACGTGAGGCGACACAACAGTCGGGTCCGTCGGGACGTGTTCTTTGGTGTCAGTTTGGTGTGTCAGGGCCTTTAGATATACGTAGCGATTTTCCTTCGTTTACGTTAAAGTGAAAGTGGGGGGAGTTTACGTTCAAAACGGAAGTGGGCGTGGCCTACGCAATTTTTTTACACAAAGTTCCGGAACCCATTTCACAGATCTATAGAAATGTAGGCTTTTTCCTCCAAATGTAACTTTTTTTGAGAGTTTGATTTTTGACAATTTGACTTTTTGAAATAATCTGTGTCATCATGTGTTTATTGAAGATGAATGTGTCTTCTCTTTCTCTCTCTCTTGACAGATCTGCTGCTTCAGCCCAAAATCTCTGTGAACGGGGTCTCCGGGGCCCAGCAGCAGGGGTTAAGGGTCTTAAGAAGTATTGTCACAGGTGAGCTGTTACGGTGTACTGTAGAACAGAGCGTGATTCTCACCTGGATAACGCAGGTGATCAGAGGACTGACTATGGGGTTTCACTATGAGCCGGTCCATGAAGCAGTCGTGCATCATCATCATCATCATCATCGAATCATCATTGCCAATTAATCAATTAGTCTTCCTGTAACATCTTCACCCACTGAAGGCTGCTGTTGTAAGATGAAATGTTTGCGTTGCAGCAACATAAAAAGACGTGGCATTGTACAATACAAATGAAAAGACTTGAAATAAACATTTTAAAATGTAAACATTGTGTTGCAGTGCCCCCACCCTCGGTGCAGATGCACGCCTCCGGCTCTCTGGCGGGTCAGGTGGTGCTTCCCTGCCTCTTCTCCATCCCCCCCCACACCACTGAGTCTCCCACGTCTCCCCCTCTCCTCCCTGCTTCCCCCCTCACCTCCACCCCCGGCCCCCAGGAGGAGCTGAGGATCAAGTGGACGAAGCTGGAAGCGTCCGGGGAGCATTTGGTGCTGGTGGCGCAGGGCGGGGGGGTGAAGGTGGGGCAGGCCTACATGGGGAGGGTGTCTGTGGCGTCTCACCCGCTCTCGGTGGGCGACGCCTCCCTGCAGCTGGTGAGGCTGCGGGCCAGCGACGCCGGGCTGTTCCGCTGCCAGGTGACGCGCGGCCTGGAGGAGACGCAGCACACCGTCAGCCTCAGCGTCACTGGTGAGGGAAACAGACGCACCGTGAAAACACCCCGTCACTTAATGCCCCACGGGTGGATTCAAACAATATGATCTTGATTTCCTGTTTTTTCGACACATATGAAACAGTAGTGAATATCAAGTATTTTCCGGGTTCTTCTTCCAGTGGAAACCCCGGATCTCTCCCACATATTTCCACAGATTCCACATTAACTCTGACAGGACTCTTTGTGTATCACAAACACACAAAGACTCATTATAACAGACACACAACTCTCTATTTCACTTCCATTCACTTCCTCTGCCAGGATGATAATAAAACTCCTCCGTCCGTCCAGAGGAGAATAAAGGGGCTAATGACAGCTTTGTGTTTCTGAGGGCGATGACGGATAAATGACCCGAGTTTCTGCTCCGTTTGTTAACTGGAGGTCTCCGGTTCATTCAGGAATCTGTAATAATTATATCTGTGTAATGCAGGTCGAGCAGGACGAAGAAAAGGACAGTATTTATTCATTTCTTCCACGTTATCTTCAGCTTTCTTCATATCATAGCCACCTAAAAGCTGCTGCAAAAGTCCGCAGATGACCCAGAATCAGCACTGTAGTAACAGGGCTGAAATAGAGGGATATGATGGATCTCTAAAATGCATGATCTGTTTGGTATTTTGAGCAAAACACTTTCATAGACATGATTTGTATATATCTGAGACCTGTAATATATGCCTTTAAGATTATCCCCTGAATCTTTGGGTCTACTTTTAGAGTTCCTTCATGAATCTTTGGACTTCAAACCTTTCTCCCAGCTTCTCTCTCTGACGGATGATTTCTTGGTGTCTCTGCAGGCGTTGTTTTCCACTACCGGGCGAAGAGCAGCCGCTACACGCTGGACTTCCTTTCAGCCGTGGAGGCTTGCGAACACGCCGGCGCCACCATCGCTTCACCGGGTCAACTGCAGGCTGCGTTCGAGGACGGATTCGACCAATGTGACGCCGGCTGGCTCTCCGACCAGACCGTCAGGTGCGTGCACTAAACTACTTTACATAAACACCAGAAATCTGTGTCTCTGCAAGTCTTTTTTTACATGTTTTATGAGATTTTTACTGTTTTTGTGAATGAAAATGATCTGAAATTAAGAAATCTCAATCTGTTTCCAATACACAAACACTTGTTTTAAGTATTTTATAATATAAAGGTGAATAGTTTTTATTCTGACACAAAATGTGACTTTTTCCACAAAATTTGACTTTTTCCTCAAAATGTGATTTTTTTCTCAGAATTTGACTTTTTTTCACAAAATTTGACTTTTTCCACAAAATTTGACTTTTTTTCTTCAGATTTGACTTTTTTTCTTCAATTTTGACTTTTTTTTCAGAATTTGACTTTTTTTCACAGTTTTGACATTTTTCTCAAAATTTGACTTTTTTCTTCAGAATTTCACTTTTTCACTTTCTAGAAAATGCTTAAAAACAATAATTATTTAGAATCTTTGTTTAAAAATGATCATTGCACTTTAGACATTGTGTACCGGTTTAAATAAAGACATGATTAAAGTCTAAATAAGGTTTTTAGGACTCGAATATTGACCTAAATTACTTATGTGTTATTTTGTATTGGGTTTTTTTCTTAAACTTTGATTTTCATCAAGTAAAAACATTTAAAATAAAAAAACAACCTGTTTTCAAAGCGCATCAACTTGATTAAGGTATTTGTTTTAAAGATTATATTTCCTTCTTGATTCCGCTGAGAGCACCTTTATAATTCTGTCTTGTTTATTTAAGGTTTTTAGGATTTAAACCCAGTCAGAAGTTACTCAATAATAGACTGGAGGTTTTATGTGTTGTTTATCTGTTTATTGTTTGTTTGTTTACTCCCCAGTTACCCCATCGTCACGCCTCGTCCCGGCTGTGCAGGAAATCTTCTGAATCGACCCGGAGTCAGAACATACGGCCTGAGAGAGCCGGAGGAGAAATACGACGTGTACTGCTACGTGGAAAAACTACACGGTAAAGAGTACAAGTACAAGTAGAGATGGAAGAAGTGCTTTTTTTTTACAATCTTGCTATTTCTAAATATTCTGAAATGTTACAACTTTTTTCTCAAAGTATTTATTTTTATTTTAAACTATTCAAAAATAGTTCTCAAAACATTCCCTTTTTTTTGTTTTTCAATTTAGTTTTTCAAAATATCCCGGAATATTTCAACCCTTTAATCAAAATACATATATTTTTTAATATATATGTCAAATCTTTTTCAAAATGTTCACACTCTTTTCCAAATATTGTTTCTTTAAATAAATATTTCAAATTCTTTTTCAAAACATTCCTAAATGTTCCGACTTTTTCCTCAAAATATATTTTTTTTCTTTTAATATTTAAACTTTTTTCAAATGCAATATTCCAAAAATATACCAACCTCTCAAAACATCCTGTCTCTGTTACATCTCTAACTCACTAAATCTCACGTCCTAACCCTTCCTCTCTCTCCCCCCTCAGGCGAGCTCTTCTTCCCCGCCTCCCTCAGTCAGAAACTCTCTCTCCAGGAGTCCAGACTCCACTGCCTCTCTCTCGGTTCTGTTCTGGCGTCTCCAGGTCAGCTGTTCGCCGCCTGGAGATCCGGATTCAACCGCTGTGATTACGGCTGGCTGTCGGACGGCAGCGTTCGGCACCCGGTCACCGTGCCGCTGCCTCAGTGTGGGGGGGGCCAGCTGGGGGTCCGCACGCTCTACAAACACCAGAACCAGACGGGTTTCCCAGACCCCCAGGACAAGCACGGACTCTACTGCTTTAAAGGTGAGACGGAAACACATACCTGGTAATGAGTCATAACAGAGGCAGAGTTTAAAGTTTATAATTTGTCAGAAGAGTCAAATAGTCAAACTGCTAGAGTATAAGGGCATTCACTGAATGAGCTTGGTTTCAATGAATCCAGGCGTACCAGACAGATCATCATCACCAAAGACAAATGGATAGTCTATGGACAGTCTGATTTACATTTTAGATAAGAGTTACTAAGACACTATCAAATCACTAACTGCAGAATTTGGATACGCACTCAGATGAACCTATTACTTTCCCTCACAGAGCAACCTCACAGGAGCAGCGAATTTCTACTACAAAGCCTTCCACGCCCATTTGTGGAACATCCCTGTCTATCACACGTCATTTTCGTACGACTAAGTCCGCCTTAGTCGTACAAATGGGCGTGGAAGGCTTTGTAGTAGAAATTCGCTGCTCCTGTGAGGTTGCTAACAAGTGTCTAAATGAGACTCTGTTGTGATTGGTCAACACCAAAACCAAACGGGTTTCCCAGAGCCCGAAGACAAGCACGGACTCTACTGCTTTAAAGGTGAGACGGACACAGGTGAGATAGAGGGGCAGGAATGAGTCCCAAACCTGGTGATGAGTCAGCATTCTCCTGGTCTGGATGTCAATGGCCAACTCCATAACTTGTATTTTATACTTTGAGGTACAATGTGTTGCAGCGCTATAGCCAATAGGAGTGCAAGTGTTCCGTAAATCTAGTATAGAAAAATGTGAATTTAGAACAAAAACAAACAGATTTTGTTTTGTTTTTAGGTGCTTTTTGTAGCTACACATTTAGCTGTTTCTATCTTAGTTTAGTGCTCCACCTTTCTGCAGGCTCACCCATTTCCAAAAGTCCAAATCCCTGAGACATTTAACTCATGAAGTCACAAGATTCAGATTCAGATTGTATTAAAACATATCATGGAAATGTGTGTTTGGCAGTGGCAAAAAAGATCAAATCACCCTCAATATAAACAGTAAAACATCCAATTCATACACACAGAAAATAGGTTAAATTGCGAGAGAGAGAGAGAGAGAGAGAGAGAGAGAGAGAGAGAGAGAGAGAGAGAGAGAGAGAGAGAGAGAGAGAGAGAGAGAGAGGAGAGAGAGAGAGGAGAGAGAGATGAGAGAGAGAGGAGAGAGAGAGGAGAGAGAGAGAGAGAGAGAGAGAGAGAGAGAGAGAGAGACTCCCTAACGCTGCACAGCTGGAGACAAACCAAACACACACAGACGTCATCATTAACACTGGTGTAAAGTCACTAGGTACATTGTTTTCCTAAGTTAACAAGCATACAGAAAATAAAAAACACAAGTACAAGTACTTCTACTTTTACTCAAGTACAAGATCTGAGTACTTCTACTTTTACTCAAGTACAAGACCTGAGTACTTCTACTTTTACTCAAGAACAACATCTGAGTACTTCTACTTTTACTCAAGTACAAGATCTGAGTACTTCTACTTTTACTCAAGAACAAGACCTGAGTACTTCTACTTTTACTCAAGAACAACATCTGAGTACTTCTACTTTTACTCAAGTACAAGACCTGAGTACTTCTACTTTTACTCAAGAACAACATCTGAGTACTTCTACTTTTACTCAAGTACAAGATCTGAGTACTTCTACTTTTACTCAAGTACAAGATCTGAGTACTTCTACTTTTACTCAAGTACAAGACCTGAGTACTTCTACTTTTACTCAAGAACAACATCTGAGTACTTCTACTTTTACTCAAGTACAAGATCTGAGTACTTCTACTTTTACTCAAGTACAAGATCTGAGTACTTCTACTTTTACTCAAGTACAAGACCTGAGTACTTCTACTTTTACTCAAGAACAACATCTGAGTACTTCTACTTTTACTCAAGTACAAGACCTAAGTACTTCTACTTTTACTCAAGAACAACATCTGAGCACTTCTACTTTTACTCAAGAGGTTAACTTGGTTAATGTACAGTTAGTGACAGTCTGAGGACCCACAGCTCCACAAACACATGAGCTCACTTCTGGGCAGGGTCTGCAGGAGAAGAAACCCCCAGAGACCGAGCCTGGAAACACCTCCAGAGAGAGGGGGGAAAGTGGTAACATCAAATATGGTTTTATGTGTTGACTTAATGTCGTTTTTAGCTAAAGAGTGGATAAAGAAAACCAAAAAACATGGCTTATCATGTTCCTTAAATCCAAATGGACTAAACATTTAAACATAAATAAAAATAAAAATAAATAAAATCTTTCGAAAAAGTAAAAATATTATTTATATTAAATAATAATAATAATTAAATGTTGATACATGATATATGAATGGGCTTATTTATGTCCAACTAATGTCTAAAGTACTACCTCTTGCTTCATTTAAAAGTTGATTTTTGTTTCTGTGTCGCATTTTAATGTAGCAGGTTTAGGTTGCAAGTCAAAACGATTGGAAAACCGAAGTCGAAGTATTTGTATGCTTAATCATAGTTTTGTCTTGTCCTGTATCTGTCAAAGTCCAATATGTGTTCCTGAGATGAAGTGGAGATAAGTATGAAGTCAGCAGAAATGCTCGTACTGAGGAGGGGGAAACAGAAAAGGGAACCCCGCCTAACGGCACCGTACGTAGGGAGGGAGTTACGTGGCGTTTATTGAAGCATTTTGTCCCCCAGGACTTCATGAGGTCAGCTGCACACTGAGAGCTCTGTTTGTTCAGCTTCCTCTCATATGTATCCCATCATAACGAGATGTAAATCTGTGGCTGCAGAAACGAAAGCCTTATGGTCTGCTGTAAATAACGTGTTAGGAGGAGAAAGATGCATTCAGGATTTAGGAAGACGACTGTGAATTCAACTTCATCCAGAAATACAATAAGATATCACTTAGAATAGAAGAGAGGATTAAATTAGACAGATCTCTCGAAACATGTGGCATGGAGACCAGATGAAACCACTACTGTACCTCATTAGTTAAATGCATTAATAAATACAAAATATATAGTTATTTAAATTTTAATTTAAAAAAACATATATATATATAAATTATTAAAAACATAATACATGAATTCATACAAAAATATGTTTAGAAATATTTTTAAATATATATTTTTTAAATGTATACTTGTTGTGTTTTTGTTGGCCCAATTGCACTACCGTCTGTAGGGACTTTCAACTTGGGTTCACGTCCCGATTGGACCAGTGTGGACTGGTCACTGCCAAGGTGCCCTTGAGCAAGGAACCGAACCCCCACCATTGTACAATAACTGCCCACTGCTCCCAGTACTATGATGGGTTAACATCGCTGTGTGACAAAATAAACAGGGTTTCATCCTCCAATTCTCTTCTATTAACATACAAATAATGACCAATAAGTGAAATGCACAACTACACTGAACGTATAACACGAGTCCAGCCACACTGAGACCTTTTATTAGTAACTGTTTTTATTCTGAAACCATGGTGACTTCATGTTTCTAAAATGAAGCTTCATTTCCTTTTAAAGTCTGCAGTCTGACGGCTCCATGATTAGCATTTTCCAGATAGTGCTGGTTTCTTTTCTTAATGAGTCACAACAATACTGATTCATTCTGAAAGCATGTTGTTTTGGATATGTTTGGATGCTTTTCCTGGACCAGTATTTCAGCCAACCGGTGGAGAATGAGGTTACTTTGTTTTGAGGAATTTTCCAAAGCGTACCACAAGTTTTAGGCGTAGTTCTTACCTTTTAAGGCAGCTATCTTTAAGTGACATGTAGTAATGGCAGAAACCTCTCGAGGACATCAGATATTTGTCCCATAGTACAATTGGGATGGATTTCAAAGAGAGCTAACAGTGAAAATAGAAACTACCCAAATGGAATAAACCTCAGTAGGTGTAAAAACAAGATTTACTTTAATACAGAAGAGGTGACATCCTTTAAAGTCAATAGAATAGCAAAATGAAATAGTCTTTAATACTAAATTCATATAAAAATGAGAATACTACAATAACCATGAGTCTTAGCAACCACAAATGCGGGAACTCTTCAGGCATTCAAGTTCAGAAACATCATTACAAATCAAGCATTACAGTCTTCGTGTTGAAACAGAAGTCTGAATTTGAAAAAGGTGAAAACTGCTGAGGTTTTAAACCCTCTTTCTTCTTCTCTGTTTCCTTTTCTTGCAGCTAAACTACCCGAGCCAACGACTACAAGTCCTCCGATGATGCCCACTGAATCTACAACTGACACTCCAACACCCGGACCAGTCTTCATGCCAGAAAGAGCTGAAATCCAAACCAAAGATCCCGTTACATATTCCAAACACACCTCCGCTCAGACTCTGGCCCCCGGGACCCCCACTCCAATGTTCGTAGACTACGACGTTCCACTTTTCAACCCCAACGTATTAGAGGCGTTACCAGGTAGAGGAGACACTTTGCCCCCCATGAAGCTGCCTCCGTTACCGACCACCCGCTTGCAGCCTCCACAACTCGATATCTCCCACGGGGGGGAGGAGGGAGGCAGAGTGGGGTCCGGCAGTGGAAGTGGGGAGGGAGGAAGCAGCGAGGGAAGCTACAGTGGGGCGATGGTGACCCCGGGACAAGCGTGGGAGGAAACCACAACGAGACCAAGTTCCCTTCTGGAAATCACCCCAGAAACCACAACGAGACCAAGTTCTCTTCCAGGCATCACATCAAGACCAAGTTCTCTTCCAGGCATCACATCAAGACCAAGTTCTCTTCCAGACATCACATCAAGACCAAGTTCTCTTCCAGAAACCACATCAAGACCAAGTTCTCTTCCAGACATCACATCCAGACCAAGTTCTCTTCCAGACATCACATCAAGACCAAGTTCTCTTCCAGACATCACATCAAGACCAAGTTCTCTTCCAGACATCACATCAAGACCAAGTTCTCTTCCAGGCATCACATCAAGACCAAGTTCTCTTCCAGGCATCACATCAAGACCAAGTTCTCCTCCAGAAATCACCCCAGAAACCACACAGAGACCATTGCATCTTCTTCCAGAGACCCCCAGCCCTGAACCAAGCGTACCAGCCAGCACCAGAGAGGGGGGTCAGCAACCCGCTGTTGTTTTTAAAGAGGACGTTACCCCAGGAACTTCATCCACGTTTGAGCTCGACCATTCGCTGGCCATTCCTGTGGACAGGGAGTCCTCTTCAGGCAATAAGCCCATCCAATTCATCGTTGTGAACATGAAGGACAGAAACCAATCAGGTGAGTTAAAGGAAAACTCAATCCACTAAAATACTGTCATACTTAAGATAAGAGATAAGACAAGATAGTACTTTATTGACTTGGGAAATGGTTGTGTTCCAGCAGCAGCATAAGAGACATGGCATTGTACAATAAAAACTTCTTAAAGTTTTCCACTCAGTTCTGGAAGTGTATTCCTCAATTCCTTCACGTTTTCACCAAAGGTATAACTGCTGATTGTCACCAATGTTGTTTTTGTACTGTGTATTTTATACTGTAAAAGCAAATGCTTCTTCTTGGCTAACAAAGTGGTAAATGGTATGGCCAATTTCTGTTATGATTGACAGTTAATTACCCACTGGTGTAACACATTGACCATGACGTTAATACAGATTCTTTACACATCAGTATAGATGCTGTGGGATTCTCAGACGTAGTGTCATTCATGTAGAAATATGGTGGACAGTAACCAGTTTTTCCCAACAGTCCAACCCTAACCCTAACCCTAAGAGTCTTCTGTTTGACATGTCTTTCCAAAACTACTCTCTCTTAATATTTCCATCACGTTTACTTTGACGTAGTTCCCCTCCCCCACTTATACTTTCCCATTTGACAGATTCATCTGTCATGGAGAGTATTTATCTTTCTGCTCGACCTCAATTTTTGTTTCTGTTCTGTTGAGGACTTATGCTGCTGCTTCGGATTTGGTTTTGTTTGTTGTCTTCTTAGGAAACAGCTACAGGTCTTGCATGCTGACAGACTCTCACACACACAAACACACACACTTAGCAGAGCCAGATGTGGAAAGACCTATGAAGTCAGTCATCCCCCCGCTCAGCGTATTGTAAACACATCCCAGAGTCACAGGGCGGGAGAAGCAGCCTCATGAATAGTCAGATATATCAGAGCAAATACTCTTTCACTTCACCTTCTTTCTCTTTCTCACAAAGACACACTGGTGGTCCCATGGGGTGATTAGCCTCCTCTAAAGGGCTTTGTGTTGTGTACAAAGAGCCAAACAAACCACAAATGTTTGACCCTAATTGTCTTTTCTCCAGGGAGCTGCCTGAATAGCCGTAACTAACAACTTCTCAAACACAGTCCCTACATTTGTCTGTATTTGTTTTATTACCTCCATGGATGCAACAGGCATGGGACCAGGGGTGACAGGGGTCACAGGGGTCACAGGGGTCACAGGGGGCCATAATGTCTGAGAGAGGTGGCTGTTACTGTTCTTAAACCTTGGTACCTTTGCTTTAAAGATTACAGAAAGTATAGATAAATAAATGATCTGTCAGTCCAGTCATTGTTTCGCTCTAGAGAAAGAAATGTTTTAGTCTCTGGAAGCCGAAAACTGTATTGGCTTGTTCAGAAACATTTCTTGAATCTAGGAAACTTGTCACTTTTTAATTGGATTTTTACGATTAAAATCATGATATTATTCATTTAGTTTGGCCAAGTTAAGATACAGCTGCTTTGGTTGAGTTTAGTGCTGCACCCAATGACTATTGTCACTATTGTTCAGTCTGCTGATCTTTGTAATGAACCGTTGTTGTCTCTAAAATGTCCAAAACTAAGCGTGACTTGTTTTTCGGTCGATCAACACTCAAAGTGTTTCAGTTGACATAATATAAATTATGGAAAAGTGTCAAACCCTGTCAATGGAGATTATAAAGCCACACAAACGTTGGTGCATTCGATAAAAAAGTTACAGAAAATGTTGGTACATGAATTATCTCTGAGTCGACTCTTTGTTTCGCTACTAGAGCAAGAAATACCTCTTAATTATCTGCATGTTGTACTAATATGTCCGTGTCCTGTTGTTTTCCAGTGGAGGACATCCTGAAATTCCTGAACCGGCCTCAGTCTCAGTTAAATCAGATCACACACTTCTCTCAGATGAGCGGTGAAGGTGTGCAGGGCAGCGGAGACTCCCATCCCTTCGACGTTTCTCCCATCAACCTGCCTCCAACCGTCAGATTCATCAACGGAAAACATCAGGTACCGTCCAGAGGAGGAAGTACTCAGATCTGGTACTTGAGTAAAAGTAGAAGTACTCAGTTCTGGTACTTGAGTAAAAGTAGAAGTACTCAGATCTGGTACTTGAGTAAAAGTAGAAGTACTCAGATCTGGTACTTGAGTAAAAGTAGAAGTACTCAGGTCTGGTACTTGAGTAAAAGTAGAAGTACTCAGATCTGGTACTTGAGTAAAAGTAGAAGTACTCAGATCTGGTACTTGAGTAAAAGTAGAAGTACTCAGATCTGGTACTTGAGTAAAAGTAGAAGTACTCAGATCTGGTACTTGAGTAAAAGTAGAAGTACTCAGATCTGGTACTTGAGTAAAAGTAGAAGTACTCAGGTCTGGTACTTGAGTAAAAGTAGAAGTACTCAGATCTGGTACTTGAGTAAAAGTAGAAGTACTCAGATCTTGTACTTGAGTAAAAGTAGAAGTACTCAGATCTGGTACTTGAGTAAAAGTAGAAGTACTCAGATCTTGTTCTTGAGTAAAAGTAGAAGTACTCAGGTCTTGTACTTGAGTAAAAGTAAAGTACTCAGATCTTGTACTTGAGTAAAAGTAGAAGTACTCAGGTCTTGTACTTGAGTAAAAGTAGAAGTACTCAGATGTTGTGCTTGAGTAAAAGTAGAAGTACTCAGGTCTTGTACTTGAGTAAAAGTAGAAGTACTCAGGTCTTGTACTTGAGTAAAAGTAGAAGTACTCAGATATTGTACTTGAGTAAAAGTAGACGTACTCAGATCTTGTACTTGAGTCAAAGTAGAAGTACTCAGGTCTTGTACTTGAGTAAAAGTAGAAGTACCAGAGTGTAGGAATACTCTGTTACAGTAAAAGTCCTGCATTCAAAATGTTCCTCAAGTGAAAGTATAAAAGTATTCTCATCAAAATATAGTGAAAGTAGCGAGAGTAAAAGTAGTCATTGTGCAGATTGGTCCATTTCAGAATAATATATATGATATGTTTTATAATGATTGATCATGAAAGTGTTCTCAAAGCTGGTAAAGGTGCAGCTAGTTTGAATGACTTTGTATACTGCAGGGTAGCTTGTGAATTTACTCCAGGTGGAACTAAAGTCTGATTTAACACTTGATTATATTTCACATCATTCATCCACATCTGTGAAGTAACTAAAGGGATTAAATACATGTAGTGGAGGAAAAGTACACCTCTGAACTGTAGTGGAGTAGAAGTACAGAGTCGCATAACATGGAAATACTCAAGAAAAGTACAAGTAAATGTTTTTAGTTACTTTACAGCACTGCTACCGTCGGTACATTAGAGTACTAAGACCCATGTTTTTAATCATCTGTATTTTCGGATGCTTTCAGGTGAAATTTGACTCTGAGCTGCCAGAGGAAGCCAGAGGAGATCAGTTCGAGACGGCCACACCTGTTCAGGTAAACGAGGTGGACCATGAAGAAGGGACAGAGAACGAGAACTTGTCTCCTTTTGACTACACCATAGAAATACCAAGTGAAGAAACACCAACAGAGGAGGAGACCCCAAGTGAAGAGACACCAACAGAGGAGACCCCAAGTGAAGAAACACCAACAGAGGAGACCCCAAGTGAAGAGACACCAACAGAGGAGACACCAAGTGAAGAGACACCAACAGAGGAGGAGACACCAAGTGAAGAAACACCAACAGAGGAGACCCCAAGTGAAGAGACACCAACAGAGGAGGAGACACCAAGTGAAGAGACACCAACAGAGGAGACACCAAGTGAAGAGACACCAACAGAGGAGACCCCAAGTGAAGAGACACCAACAGAGGAGACCCCAAGTGAAGAGACACCAACAGAGGAGGAGACACCAAGTGAAGAGACACCAACAGAGGAGACACCAAGTGAAGAGACACCAACAGAGGAGACCCCAAGTGAAGAGACACCAACAGAGGAGACCCCAAGTGAAGAGACACCAACAGAGGAGACACCAAGTGAAGAGACACCAACAGAGGAGACCCCAAGTGAAGAGACACCAACAAAGGACAGCAGCGATGCATCCGTGGATTCTGACGTCAAAACCCAAGAACCAGGCGATCAGACGGCAACAAGATCCACCTCCACGTTCAAACAGAAACTCCCCGTCTCATCTCCAGCAACCTCAACACCATCTTCCGCCTTTTCTGTTCCGCAGCCTCCCACTAAAGGTGTTTCAACCTTCGACGATACAGAAGGATCGGCAAGTCGCGGCACCGATGACGAGTCTCAGGAAGGATCCACGGACGACGTTTCGTCATTGGGAAGCCAATCTCGAGGCGTGACCGATGAGACGGAAATCGGCGGGACGGAGCCTCCTACTACTTCAATCCCAGAGGCACAATCACAGAAAACGACAACCACAAAGACCGACATCGAGGACTCCGAAGGGTCCGCATCGGGAGAAGACGAAACTTCAGGACAAGACCCACCGGAGATTTATTCTACCCAGAAACTTCAACCTGTGGACGTAGAAGTTCCTTTGGTTTTACCGGCTGTAGACGTGGTGACAGATGCAGGATCAGGTGCAGAACAGATGTCCGGAGAGGGGGAAGTTTCCGGGGAAAAGGGTGGTCCGTTTGACCCCCTTTCAGAGGTCACAGTTACTGTTTTACCACATGTTGCAGCCGTGACTTTTGCAGACCAAACCACAAACAGAAAGGACACGACCTCAGAAGTTACCACCCCGAAACAGTCCACCACAAACGATAACAAACATCCAGATCTTACCTCAAAGTCTGCATCCACAACGCCTGAAAACCAAACCCCAACCACCACCAAGCAGCAGAATGCTTTTGTACCTGCCACAACCTCAGGAGCAGTGAGTGACCACACACACACACACACACACACACACACACACACACACACACACACACACACACACACACACACACACACACACACACACACACACACACACACACACACACACACACACCTTTTATTTATATACTAATATATACTGGCATATACAGTATGTTTTGTGTTATGCTTTGGCAATACTATGTTTAAAATGTGCTCATGCCAATAAAGCGCCTTTGTATTGTATTTTATTGTCAATCAAGTCAAACTCCTCGTACGTGTCAACCTACCTGGTACTAAACCTGAATCTGATTCTGATTCTGATTCTGATTCTCGATTTCCAGACGAAGACCACCACAAATGATAAGAAACATCCAGATCTTACCTCAAAGTCTTCATCCACAACGCCTGAAAACCAAACCCCAACCACCACCAAGCAGCAGAATACTTTTGTACCTGCCACAACCTCAGGAGCAGTGAGTGACCACACACACACACACACACACACACACACACACACACACACACACACACACACACCAATAAAGCGCCTTTGTATTGTATTTTATTGTCAATCAAGTCAAATTCCTCGTACGTGTCAACCTACCTGCTACTAAACCTGATTCTGATTCTTATTCTGATTCTCGATTCCCAGACGAAGACCACCACAAATGATAAGAAACATCCAGATCTTACGTCCAAGTCTTCATCCACAACCCCTGAAGACCACGACCCAACCACCACCAAGTTTTCCCAGACGAAGCAGACCACCACGAGCTCCACGCAGCCCTTGTACACTTTCGATCGTCACACCCACTCCGTCCCTCAGTGGGCTCTGACCCCTGACCCCGCTGCCACCCCTCTACCAGATGATGATTTTGTGGATTACGATAAAGAGTTGGCCCCTGTTCTGCTGGAGGTTCGGCCCCCGAAAGCAGAAGAGATCCGGACCACGGAGCAGCCGGAGAACGCTCACCCTGTGGAGGTCAGCACCGTGGACGTCAGAGGTACATGGACCTACTTATTAGTGTTTTGTAGCTTCAGTGTTGTTAACTTTACAGCAGCTCATTTCAATTCAAATTCAAAGGCTTTATTGTCATATGCACATCAGCTACAGTGGAGAAATGGCAATGAAATTCTTCTGACCTGAGCTCCTCCAACAGCTATCTGTGTTGGCATCAAAATATAAGTTCATGAGTTGATCGAAAAACTGTCTTTCTTGGACTTTTTCTGTATCCGTGTAGATCTCCTGCCATGCACGACCAATGTGTGTCAGAACGACGGCAGCTGCTACAGAAGAAACACACAGAATATGTGTGTGTGTGCACCTGGATTCACCGGGCAGCTCTGTGAAACAGGTATTTACACACACAGAGCCATGCTTTTTTCTTTTAACTACCCACATTGACCCCACGCTGACAGACGGATGGTAACGGCTGGTGTTGTGTGTCTGCAGATGTCGATGAGTGCCAGTCGAACCCCTGTCTGAACGGAGCCACCTGTCTGGATGGAGTCGCCTCGTTCACCTGCCTCTGTCTGCCCAGCTACTCCGGAGAGCTCTGCCAACAAGGTGAGCCTCACCTGAGAAACCTTACAGAGCTGCGGTCACACTAAAGTTCAACAAACTCCAATAATGAGAGTAAAATCCCACCTTTTTTGGAGATTTTCGTCTTGTTTTTGTAGCTTTGGCCCCGAGTTAGAGTGGTCTTTGTTGATGCAAAGGTGCCTCTCTGAGTCTCCATTGCTTCAGAAGTTTCCATCACAGTTAGTGGGTCTCGATACATTTCCACCCAGAGGTGGGAAGTAGTGGAGGACAAATACTCCGTTACTGTACTCAAGTACATGTTTCTGGTATCAGTACTTTACTCCACTGCTTATTTTTCTGACGACTTTTAACTTTGACTTCTTACATGTTGAACACAAATACCTGTACTTTCTACTTCTTACATGTTGAACTCAAATACCTGTACTTTCTACTTCTTACATGTTGAACACAAATACCTGTACTTTCTACTTCTTACATTTTTAACACAAATACCTGTACTTTCTACTTCTCACATGTTGAACACAAATACCTGTACTTTCTACTTCTTACATTTTTAACACAAATACCTGTACTTTCTACTTCTCACATGTTGAACACAAATACCTGTACTTTCTACTTCTTACATGTTGAACCCAAATACCTGTACTTTCTACTTCTCACATGTTGAACACAAATACCTGTACTTTCTACTTCTTACATGTTGAACACAAATACCTGTACTTTCTACTTCTTACATGTTGAACCCAAATACCTGTACTTTCTACTTCTCACATGTTGAACACAAATACCTGTACTTTCTACTTCTTACATGTTGAACACAAATACCTGTACTTTCTACTTCTTACATGTTGAACCCAAATACCTGTACTTTCTACTTCTTACATGTTGAACACAAATACCTGTACTTTCTACTTCTTACATGTTGAACACAAATACCTGTACTTTCTACTTCTTACATGTTGAACCCAAATACCTGTACTTTCTACTTCTTACATGTTGAACACAAATACCTGTACTTTCTACTTCTCACATGTTGAACACAAATACCTGTACTTTCTACTTCTTACATGTTGAACACAAATACCTGTACTTTCTACTTCTTACATGTTGAACCCAAATACCTGTACTTTCTACTTCTTACATGTTGAACACAAATACCTGTACTTTCTACTTCTTACATGTTGAACCCAAATACCTGTACTTTCTACTTCTTACATGTTGAACCCAAATACCTGTACTTTCTACTTCTCTCATTTTCCAAACAGGCTGGTTCCTTTAGTTTGAATGTGTGTTTGGTGGCGTGATCATTATTATTTAGAGTCATTGCGTGCCTATTGATTTGAACACGATCCGTGTATCCATCATTTCCTGGTCTTCTCTAAAGAAGAGGGACCAATGAAAACGTTGTCATGTTGCCGTTGTTCAGCATGGAAACATTCATTAGCTAACAATGACATTATTGTTCTATTAATATAAAGGGAGGTCAGGTACTCTTTAAAACAGCTGCTAGTTATGGGTACTTTTTACTGAAGTACATTTCAAAGCCTCTTTACTTTTACTTGAGTAAAGAAGTTTAGTCAGTACTTCTACTTTTACCAGAGTATTTTTAAACACGAGTATCTGTACTTCTACTTGAGGAAAGGATGTGTGTACTTCTACTTGAGGAAAGGATGTGTGTACTTTTGCCATCTCTGTATAACTCTCACAGGTGCATCTTAATGCAGTCTGCAGTCCTCGCTCCCAGCTGTTTTCGGACGCAGGGCGTTGGCTCCTCTGCAGATTAGTTCCAGCTTCTCGTCCAATTCCTCTGTCATTGCTCAGCAACTAATCAAGGCTCACCCATGCTCCTAGGATTCATATTTTCCAAGAAAAAGACCAAGTGGATGTCTCTCCTAATATTCTTTAAAGATAAATACGATTTGTCGACGTCTAAGAAAGAGAAATGATAAGGTCACATTCTTTCTTTACAGCGAGGGTTGGTTCCTCACGTTGAAGAAATGGCTGTTTTAGCATCAACTGGATTAAAAGTCATGTTACAATCTTTATAATAAGTGTAGCACTTTAACTTTAAATCAGCTTATCAGTTGCTTATGATTATTTATCTGACTTTTAGTAACTTTTATTAGAAGTACTTAAATATTTCTTTACCGATAAAATACATTTTCTTAAAGTTTTAAAGTGTTTAACATTTACAAGTAAAAAACAAATCCCTGCAGCGATGCATGCAACACGGATACAAGCGGATGGATGGGTGGATGGATGGATGGATGGATGGATAGATGGATGGGTGGATGGATGGATGGATGATGGATGGATGGATGGATGGATGATGGATGGATGGATGGGTGGATGGATGCATGATGGATGGATGGATGATGGATGGATGGATGATGGATGATGGATGGATGGATGGGTGGATGGATGGATGATGGATAGATGGATGGATGGATGGATGGGTGGATGGATGGATGGATGGATGGATGGATGGATGGATGGATAGATGGATGGATGGATGGATGGATGGATGATGGATGGATGGATGGGTGGATGGATGGATGGATGATGGATGGATGGATGGATGGATGATGGATGGATGGATGGGTGGATGGATGCATGATGGATGGATGGATGATGGATGGATGGATGATGGATGATGGATGGATGGATGGGTGGATGGATGGATGATGGATAGATGGATGGATGGATGGATGGGTGGATGGATGGATGGATGGATGGATGGATGGATGGATGGATAGATGGATGGATGGATGGATGGATGGATGATGGATGGATGGATGGGTGGATGGATGGATGGATGGATGGATGGATGGATGCAACACATGGCCTTTGTTAGAGTTTATATGTTATGTATATTTCATATGTACATAATCATTACTGATGCCCTAAAATAGATGTTAATTCTAACAAATGTACATATAATTATCCTCTTTATTGGTAAATCAAATGTACACCTTTTTGCAAAACATTCTTCCTGAATAACTTTTATAACGATGACTTGACCAACATTGAAAAATATGCACAACAAAAGATATATGTTTTATTTTGAACCCTTTATTGCAGTGTTTTTCCTCTGAGTTCATTGCATGGTACGAGGGCGGAGTGAGTAGAAAGTGGAAATCCCCTGACCTACAGGGTGTTTCCATACATCCAGCGTCTTGTATCCAACAGGAATTCAATGTGCATTATTGAGAGGAGCTCTGTGTTTGTTATCCACCCTGATGCAGACACACACACACACACACACACACACACACACACACACACACACACACACACACACACACACACAGCTGTCCTTCAGTCGCTTCCTGCCAGTGGAAAGTATAAAACAGAGAATTGCTCCATTATTTTTGCCAGAGAGCTCTTGCAGCTGTGTGGCATTGAATCAGTGAACTCTGCTAAATACAGCCATCGGACTCTCCTGCTATTCATGTCCTCAACTTATTCTGTACTTTGCCAAAAGCAGAGTCCCAAATTAAATGTGTGCAGACCTCACCTGACCCTCCAGGTGCTTCACAGAGGACTTAATTAGAAATGGCGGGTTGACGATAGCTAAAACCCAACGGCAACTTTCCATCACGTCTTCATTGGCACAGAAGCCGCTGATACAAAACCTCCATTGTTTACCACCGAGTCCCACAAAGCACTGAACTGATTGTATGGCTTACAGTCATTGTATATTAAACCAAATGTGTGTGTTAGAGTGTGTGCATGTGTGTGACCTGCAGACAACTGGAGGTTTGTGGAGGTTGATGAAGTCCAACTGTGTGTTACTGAGCTCATTGTCCCACAGCTGGACCTCATCTCTGTTTCTCTGTTTTTCTGAGAACAACAGAGTTTGATGAGAAGTAAATAAATAAATGTTGTGAAGCTGCAAAAGCAGGAAGGAAAAAAAGCATATTTCTGTGTTTCGCATTTAAAAAGGTTTGGTTTATTTGATGCTAACGCACTCCCAGGATTCTGGCTCTTCTTGCCGTCTTGATTGTTTGCACTTATTACATTTTTTGCGCATATTTTATACATTATCAAGTTGGAGATATGGAATCTAGTTAAAGACTCTGAACTGTACTATAACTTATGGACTAGTGGATCTATTTGGACCTTGATATGGACTCTTTTTGAGCATTTTCTAGCTGGTTATTGAGCGTTTTCTACGTGGTTATTGAGCGTTTTCTAGCTGGTTATTGAGCGTTTTCTAGCTGGTTATTGAGCGTTTACTAGCTGGTTATTGAGCGTTTACTTCGTGGTTATTGAGCGTTTACTAGCTGGTTATTGGGCCTTTACTACGTGGTTATTGGGCGTTTACTACGTGGTTATTGAGCGTTTTCTAGCTGGTTATTGAGCGTTTTCTAGCTGGTTATTGGGCGTTTACTACGTGGTTATTGAGCGTTTTCTAGCTGGTTATTGAGCGTTTTCTAGCTGGTTATTGAGCGTTTACTACGTGGTTATTGAGCGTTTACTACGTGGTTATTGAGCGTTTACTACGTGGTTATTGAGCGTTTTCTAGCTGGTTATTGGGCGTTTTCTAGCTGGTTATTGAGCGTTTACTACGTGGTTATTGAGCGTTTACTACGTGGTTATTGAGCGTTTACTAGCTGGTTATTGAGCGTTTTCTAGCTGGTTATTGAGCGTTTACTAGCTGGTTATTGAGCGTTTACTACGTGGTTATTGAGCGTTTACTAGCTGGTTATTGAGCGTTTTCTAGCTGGTTATTGAGCGTTTTCTAGCTGGTTATTGGGCGTTTACTACGTGGTTATTGAGCGTTTACTAGCTGGTTATTGAGCATTTTCTAGCTGGTTATTGGGCGTTTTCTAGCTGGTTATTGAGCGTTTACTAGCTGGTTATTGAGCGTTTACTACGTGGTTATTGAGCGTTTACTAGCTGGTTATTGAGCGTTTTCTAGCTGGTTATTGAGCGTTTACTAGCTGGTTATTGAGCATTTTCTAGCTGGTTATTGAGCGTTTACTAGCTGGTTATTGAGCGTTTACTACGTGGTTATTGAGCGTTTACTACGTGGTTATTGAGCGTTTACTAGCTGGTTATTGAGCGTTTTCTAGCTGGTTATTGAGCGTTTACTAGCTGGTTATTGAGCGTTTACTACGTGGTTATTGAGCGTTTACTAGCTGGTTATTGAGCGTTTTCTAGCTGGTTATTGAGCGTTTTCTAGCTGGTTATTGGGCGTTTTACTACGTGGTTATTGAGCGTTTACTAGCTGGTTATTGAGCATTTTCTAGCTGGTTATTGGGCGTTTTCTAGCTGGTTATTGAGCGTTTACTACGTGGTTATTGGGCGTTTACTACGTGGTTATTGAGCGTTTTCTAGCTGGTTATTGAGCGTTTTCTAGCTGGTTATTGGGCGTTTTCTAGCTGGTTATTGAGCGTTTACTACGTGGTTATTGAGCGTTTACTAGCTGGTTATTGAGCGTTTACTACGTGGTTATTGAGCGTTTACTAGCTGGTTATTGAGCGTTTTCTAGCTGGTTATTGGGCGTTTACTACATGGTTATTGAGCGTTTACTAGCTGGTTATTGAGCGTTTTCTAGCTGGTTATTGAGCGTTTTCTAGCTGGTTATTGAGCGTTTTCTAGCTGGTTATTGGGCGTTTTCTAGCTGGTTATTGAGCGTTTACTACGTGGTTATTGAGCGTTTACTAGCTGGTTATTGAGCGTTTTCTACGTGGTTATTGAGCGTTTACTACGTGGTTATTGAGCGCTTTCTAGCTGGTTATTGAGCGTTTACTACGTGGTTATTGAGCGCTTTCTAGCTGGTTATTGAGCGTTTACTACGTGGTTATTGAGCGTTTTCTAGCTGGTTATTGAGCGCTTTCTAGCTGGTTATTGAGCGTTTTCTAGCTGGTTATTGAGCGTTTACTACGTGGTTATTGAGCGTTTTCTAGCTGGTTATTGAGCGTTTACTACGTGGTTATTGAGTGTTTTCTAGCTGGTTATTGAGCGTTTACTACGTGGTTATTGAGCGCTTTCTAGCTGGTTATTGAGCGTTTACTAGCTGGTTATTGAGTGTTTTCTAGCTGGTTATTGAGCGCTTTCTAGCTGGTTATTGAGCGTTTACTAGCTGGTTATTGAGTGTTTTCTAGCTGGTTATTGAGCGTTTACTAGCTGGTTATTGAGTGTTTTCTAGCTGGTTATTGAGCGTTTACTACGTGGTTATTGAGCGTTTTCTAGCTGGTTATTGGGCGTTTACTACGTGGTTATTGAGCGTTTTCTAGCTGGTTATTGAGCGTTTTCTAGCTGGTTATTGAGCGTTTACTACGTGGTTATTGAGCGTTTACTACGTGGTTATTGAGCGTTTTCTAGCTGGTTATTGGGCGTTTTCTAGCTGGTTATTGAGCGTTTACTACGTGGTTATTGAGCGTTTACTACGTGGTTATTGAGCGTTTACTACGTGGTTATTGAGCGTTTACTAGCTGGTTATTGAGCGTTTTCTAGCTGGTTATTGAGCGTTTACTAGCTGGTTATTGAGCGTTTACTACGTGGTTATTGAGCGTTTACTAGCTGGTTATTGAGCGTTTTCTAGCTGGTTATTGAGCGTTTTCTAGCTGGTTATTGGGCGTTTACTACGTGGTTATTGAGCGTTTACTAGCTGGTTATTGAGCATTTTCTAGCTGGTTATTGGGCGTTTTCTAGCTGGTTATTGAGCGTTTACTAGCTGGTTATTGAGCGTTTACTACGTGGTTATTGAGCGTTTACTAGCTGGTTATTGAGCGTTTTCTAGCTGGTTATTGAGCGTTTACTAGCTGGTTATTGAGCATTTTCTAGCTGGTTATTGAGCGTTTACTAGCTGGTTATTGAGCGTTTACTACGTGGTTATTGAGCGTTTACTACGTGGTTATTGAGCGTTTACTAGCTGGTTATTGAGCGTTTTCTAGCTGGTTATTGAGCGTTTACTAGCTGGTTATTGAGCGTTTACTACGTGGTTATTGAGCGTTTACTAGCTGGTTATTGAGCGTTTTCTAGCTGGTTATTGAGCGTTTTCTAGCTGGTTATTGGGCGTTTACTACGTGGTTATTGAGCGTTTACTAGCTGGTTATTGAGCATTTTCTAGCTGGTTATTGGGCGTTTTCTAGCTGGTTATTGAGCGTTTACTACGTGGTTATTGGGCGTTTACTACGTGGTTATTGAGCGTTTTCTAGCTGGTTATTGAGCGTTTTCTAGCTGGTTATTGGGCGTTTTCTAGCTGGTTATTGAGCGTTTACTACGTGGTTATTGAGCGTTTACTAGCTGGTTATTGAGCGTTTACTACGTGGTTATTGAGCGTTTACTAGCTGGTTATTGAGCGTTTTCTAGCTGGTTATTGGGCGTTTACTACATGGTTATTGAGCGTTTACTAGCTGGTTATTGAGCGTTTTCTAGCTGGTTATTGAGCGTTTTCTAGCTGGTTATTGAGCGTTTTCTAGCTGGTTATTGGGCGTTTTCTAGCTGGTTATTGAGCGTTTACTACGTGGTTATTGAGCGTTTACTAGCTGGTTATTGAGCGTTTTCTACGTGGTTATTGAGCGTTTACTACGTGGTTATTGAGCGCTTTCTAGCTGGTTATTGAGCGTTTACTACGTGGTTATTGAGCGCTTTCTAGCTGGTTATTGAGCGTTTACTACGTGGTTATTGAGCGTTTTCTAGCTGGTTATTGAGCGCTTTCTAGCTGGTTATTGAGCGTTTTCTAGCTGGTTATTGAGCGTTTACTACGTGGTTATTGAGCGTTTTCTAGCTGGTTATTGAGCGTTTACTACGTGGTTATTGAGTGTTTTCTAGCTGGTTATTGAGCGTTTACTACGTGGTTATTGAGCGCTTTCTAGCTGGTTATTGAGCGTTTACTAGCTGGTTATTGAGTGTTTTCTAGCTGGTTATTGAGCGCTTTCTAGCTGGTTATTGAGCGTTTACTAGCTGGTTATTGAGTGTTTTCTAGCTGGTTATTGAGCGTTTACTAGCTGGTTATTGAGTGTTTTCTAGCTGGTTATTGAGCGCTTTCTAGCTGGTTATTGAGCGTTTACTAGCTGGTTATTGAGCGCTTTCTAGCTGGTTATTGAGCGTTTACTACGTGGTTATTGAGCGTTTACTAGCTGGTTATTGAGCGCTTTCTAGCTGGTTATTGAGCGTTTTCTAGCTGGTTATTGATCGCTTTCTAGCTGGTTATTGATCGCTTTCTAGCTGGTTATTGGGCGTTTTCTAGCTGGTTATTGATCGCTTTCTAGCTGGTTATTGATCGCTTTCTAGCTGGTTATTGAGCGTTTTCTAGCTGGTTATTGATCGCTTTCTAGCTGGTTATTGAGCGCTTTCTAGCTGGTTATTCTAGGTGCATTCAAACCTGACCTACAAGATGTAGAATCTCTGTTGTCGTTGCCTGTTACTTTTATATTTCCATATATATATACTTTAGAAAGGTCTTTAATCTGCCACAAAGTGGGATTGTGTGCAGCCAGACGTTTTAAGAGGACTACTCTACATGTTTGAAAGGTCTTTCATTCTTATAGGTTGTAGAAAGTCATGTCAAGAAATGCTATTCTGTCATGTACGCTGATTGGCTTCATCTGGCTTCATCTGGCTTCAATAGATATAATATAGTTGCTACCAAAATAACCAGTTATAATCAATGCATTCCCAGTTCTCTAACTCTGTATGTTTCCCCTCTCTGCAGACACTGAGCTGTGTGGGTTCGGCTGGCAGAAGTTTCAGTCTCACTGCTATAAATACTTCACTCACCGGCGGACGTGGGACGCAGCAGAGAGAGAGTGCCGTCTGCACGGAGCCCACCTGACCAGCATCCTGTCCTCAGAGGAGCAGATCTACGTCAACCGTAAGTCCACGAGGAGGCATTTAAACACCGTCTCTCGATGTTAGCATGTAGGCTAAACGCTCTACCTTTTAATTCAGTCTCTAATCCCAAGAAATGAAGACTCAGTAAAACCCTGTTTAACATCCAATGCATCAGACGGACATTTGTAGCCTTAGTAGTGGCTTGGCTGAATGGCAATGTCCATCTTTAGGGTCCAACACTCAATCACGTGCACGTATAACGTTGGTGTCGGCAGTAAAATAATCTACACAGGGTTCAAGAGGCGCACACGGTAAATGTTTCTCATTTGTTATTATATGTGTGTGTGTTAATATTCACACTATGTCCATCTTTAGGGTCCAACACTCAATCACTTTGGTTCAAACCAAAATATCTCATCAACTATGGGATAGATTTCCATGAAATTTGGTTCAGACGTTCATGTTCCCCAGAGGATGAGTCCTTCTTACTTTGGTGAAGCTCTGACTCTTACTGCAGCCCGACCGTTAGATTTACGGTTATAGCTTTCTGTGAAATATCTCAACAACCATGGGATGAAACGGGTCGAAATGTGGTTCAGACCCTCATTTTAGCTCCACTATGAATTGTAATACCTTTGATAGATCCTTAAGAGTTCATTAGCAGACAAAAAAAAGAACTTATGACATTCCCATTAGCCTCAAATGTAACTTTGAGTTTACTGATAATTAGCCAATGTTAGTAGCTAACGAGCTAAACTAAGATTGTATCCAATATGGTACTTTAGCATATAGCTCGAAGCTTTCTCTATCATTCCTACCTTCCGTGCGTACAGTGGGTCAATAATGAAAGACATCTTTGCAATACCTCCCATGATGCTCGAGTGCCTAAACTCCCAGTATGGGACCCAAATAGTTGAAGAACTGTCTCTAATGACTTCCATTTTGTCCATTTGGTGCCTGCCATTGATACACTGAACTCTATAAGAGAGTAAATGTCTATATTTAAAAGCACTTATCCTCTAAAGTGTTGCTGATGTTTTACAGGAAAGAGCACTTTGAGAAGAGTGTTTGGAAAGCAGCCACTCAATCTGCGCTCTGATCCAGTGATGAGTGTTAGTCAGATAAACACAGAGTTTCCATACACAATCAAAGCTTGAGCAACATGTAAACCGTGTCTCCGTTTATCTGGGAGACGGAGATGAAATGGACTCGAGCCAGTCCTTAAATCACAGCTCAGTCTTGAACGTTTCCTCTGATTTCTCTCCTGGTTATTCACCACAGCTAGCACACAAACCACAGCCTCGTAAATCATCAAACCCTCTTTTATAAAGTCCTGGAGAAGTGTTTGCTTTGGAGAACACCAAACACTGGTTCCAACTTTTGTTAAAACAATATCTTGGTTTCAGAAACTGTAATTGAAATTAGTCATGGTGTACGAAACAAGGGTTCATTATCTAGAAATGTACTTTGTAGGGTATGTAAATATACAATGTAAGGTATATTATTATTGATTTGTAGAAGAAGAGCTGTATTAATTATTGACAGGAATTGTTTGTCATTTTTGTTTTTACTTCCCTTGTTTTTTGTGGCTGTAGTGTGTTAATGTGCTTGTAATGAAACAGTGATAAAAAGACTGTGGTGTGTTTCTCTCTCAGGTATGGGCAGTGACTACCAGTGGCTCGGTCTGAGCGACAAGATGTTTGAGAGAGACTTCAGATGGACCGACGGGAGGCCGATGGTGAGGAGATGTGATATATTTATCAGTCTGTGGAAGTGTTTTATCTATGGGATTAGAAAAAGGGCTTGCATTTTTGCCTGTAAATGCATCGTTCTGGAGATTAAAAAGTCCACGTTCCTCTCAGGATGCGTCATCAGGAGGCTTGACTGTAGACGGTGGTTTTGAGTCTCATATTCACAGACAAGTCATCTTTAAATAGGTATTATTCCTCTAAACTGTAGAGTTATTACTCAATCTAGATCTAGTGTTTTGGGTGAGTCGCCAAGTATTGAACACTAGGCTCTTTAAAAATACATTTAAAACACCCAACAGGAAGTTTTCTTTCTAAGAATCCTGACCCGGCTACTGAAGATAATCCAGAGACTAGAGTCACCATACAGGAGGAAGCATGCACCTACTTATTTAAACTTGAATCATATAAACAGATATTAAAAAGTATATTTGTTCATGACATGGGAGGTAAACAAGAAGTCTCATCATCAAAAAGTTTATTTAAAGGGGACCTATCATGCAAAATGCACTTTTGTACGTCTTTTATACATGAATATGTGTCCCCGGTGTTCCAGGGAACTCACCAAGTGTCAGAAAACACAACCCTCTCTATTTTCCTCCATACCCAAATCTCTAAAAAAGGGGCTGCAACGGATCTGATAAAAACTGATCCAGATTTGAACACTGTCCTGACGTCAGGACGGTGGCGCTACGGCTATTGGGCCAACTCCACCAATCAGGAGGAGACAGCCACGGCCATTGCCGTTCGAAAGCGCTGGAGAGGCTGTAGTACATATGCCAGGCCTGTAGGTGGTGCTGTTCTCACAGAATCTGCCCTTGCTAAAACAGAGCTAAAAAATGTCAAATTGAGCAAAATGAGGCATGGCTAAAATGCATGGTCTGTTTGGTATTTTGAAAAAAAAAAAAGTATAAATATGCCTTATATAGGTATGGTCCTACACTATATTATTCAAATATAGCATGATAGATATTTGAACAAAGACCATGCATACAAATACATTCATCTCAGAAAAGAGAACAGATTTTTTGATGCCAGATTTGAGCTCATTTCCATCTGCAGTCCTGAGGCAGGTACATCACAATCAACACACACTACAAACATGTCATCCTCTCTATCACACAAACAGTTATAAAACAGATTGAAGTACAGGTCAATACAATACTACAATACAATTACAATTGAAAAACTCAGATGAAAGTGTAATTCATGTTAGCTTAATATCATTTTATTTGCACCATCAGATAGAGTGAGAGTCAGTGCAGGTTTTAAGATCAGCTGGAAGAATATTCCAGTGTTTGATGGCCGTAAATGAAAATGCAGATTGTTCAAAGACACAGAGGGACGGTTATATCTGTGTTTAGTACAAATCTTGAGTTTCTCCCACTGAAAAAAGCTCCCTCCATGGTGGTGTGGTCGCATTGTAAATGATCCTGGACACCAATCGAACTCTTGAACACAGAACAAGGTTTTCAAAACGTAAAAGATTGTATTTGGAAAGTATATTGCAATGATTACATTACATTACATGTCACTTGTTAGCGACTTACATTCTCAATACTGTGGACAATCCACACAGGAGCAATTTTGGGGTGAAGTGTCTCAGGGACACAACGACATGCTGACTGCAGTGGGGTTTGAACCTGTGACCACCTGATCCGAACACCAACGCACAACCCACTGCACCACACGCCTCCCATGATGGTGTTTTAATGACTTCATCATGACTATCATATCCATTTCTGTTATTTAGCGACCACAGATTAACTTTTCTATTGAAGATTGAAGGGTTAGACATCAGTTTATTTGAATAAAAATTGATTTTATTATATTTTATTACAACTTCACACCTCTCCCTGTGTGTTAGTGACGCAGTGTGTGTTAGTGACGCAGTGTGTAACCTCCTGACCAGCCGCTGCACTCTGGAGTTTTTCAGTCGTGAAGACACAGTTTTGTGCGTCAGCTGTTGAACATGTGGAAACTCTCTGAAGGTCTGAAACCTGAGACGGTGTTTTCATCCAGAACACAGGCACACCCTGACTGGAGTTTAACTTAAAGTGCATGTTGTATGACGCTAACATGTTCATTTTTCCTGTGTTAAACTAAAGCAGATTAGTTCCTCCTGCAGATTGTAGATTAGAGCCCATGGTTTTGGTTTCCCGGCCTGCAGCACCACTGCCTGCTCTCTCTGGGAACTACATCCAGTCACATGTGTTAAAGAGCTCTTGTTGTTGTCTATGAGATGTTTTTTATTTTTTTTATTTCTTATAACCTTTTGAAATTTCTAACAAAACATTTTTCACGTAATTGTTTTAGAATTCTTCAGACATTTGACACACGATGATGAATGATGAATGAAACTATGCTTTAGACCAACGCCTCTTGTTTTGTTGAGTTCATATGAAGTCAACACTGCAATATTCCAGCCTTCAGGAAACAATTTTATCATGATGAATTTTTTTACATATTTGAGAAATGTTTTCATACATCTGTTTGAGTGTTTTTGAAACTTTCTTTTTGCATTTTTCTGTTGGTAAGGTTATGCTCTTCCCCCTTCTTTATATACTGTTGGCTAGTTTAATCTGCAGCAAAGCATCATATTCTAAAAGATCATTGCTTGTTAGTTGTTCGTAATTTTTTTGAATGCATTTTGGACATGTCTCCTTGTACATTTTTACACATGCATTTGGACTTTTTGCACATAATTATCCAAAGTGTTGAGACACGGTTCACATTTGTTTTTGGACATATTTTTCAAAATGTGCTCTTTAGTGACAGTTCATTTGTATACATTTAAATGTTATATTTCATACTTAAAGGTGGGGTAGGTAAGTTTGAGAAACCGGCTCGAGATACACTTGTTGTTATATTCCATGGAATGCTCTTAACATCCCGATAGCAATGAATATCTGAAGTGCTTTGACAAAAAATCCATAAATAAATATCATCTGTGGAAGCTGTAGTACTGTAAAAAGCACGACCAATCATCTGAGCCGGCCCGGCTAAAATAACTGGATGGCCTACCTGCCTGTCAGCCTTCCATCTGTGCACAAACTTATCTCGTGCCCTCATTGGTCATGTGCACGTTCGTGTGTGTTGGAGGAGGGGCTCTGTAAGGAAGTGGCAGATTTTCTCCGGTTGTGTATTTTCAAATTCTAGCGCACTCGAGCCGGTTTCTCAAACTTACCTACCCCACCTTTAATTCAGAGATCCTTCAGGTAATATTTTTTACTATTTACTCAGCATTTTACTGGTGTTGGTATCTTTGTCCTGTGAGAACCAAGTGCCTCAACAAATTATTTTTCTCTGAACAACACCTCTGTTTGCAGCTTTGTGATGATGCATTTTAAAGAGTGTATTTATGTGTGTTCCCTCAGCAATACGACCACTGGAGGCCGAACCAGCCCGACAGCTTCTTCCAGTCGGGAGAGGACTGTGTGGTGATGATCTGGCACGAGGGGGGGCAGTGGAACGACGTTCCCTGCAACTATCACCTGACCTTCACCTGCAAGAAGGGAACAGGTACATCCAAACACTAACACAACTGACCTTCACCTGCAAGAAGGGAACAGGTACATCCAGACACTGATAAACACGGCAAAGAGCCTCAGAAAAACTGTGGGAGAGTTTTGTCAAATATCAGACTGCAGAGACACTTTTTTAGTTGTCACCGGCTTGAGCTTCAATATCAGGATCCATGTATTTATTAATCCTTGCAAGAATGGAAGTCATAGGAAGGGTTACATTTGATTCCTCTAGTGTCTTTAAAATATATTTCTTGAAGTGTAATCCTCCATTTCCCCCCCCCCCCCCTCAGTCTCCTGTGAGCAGCCCCCCATGGTGAAGGATGCTCGGGTGTTCGGGGCGATGAAGCCTCGCTACGAGATCAACACGCTGCTGCGATATCACTGTGAACAGGGCTTCATCCAGAGACACGCCCCCACCATCCGCTGCCGGGCCAACGGCCAATGGGACGCCCCGAAAGTCACCTGCACGAGCCGTGAGTCATTCACCAAATCTGAGATCTCCACAGTCTGAGACAAGATAATAAGATAAGCAGAGATGGCTATGTATTGCTATCCTGTGTATGTCTCTATTACTAGCATAGGCTAAGGCTCCATGAACGTTTAGAAATGTTTCACTTTTTAACGCTGTTTTTTCTGCCTTTTCCCAGCCGCAACTTACCACAAGTTAATGACTCTCCGGCGCCGCAACAACCAGAACAACGAGCAGGAAATCCAGCACATCCACCATACCAAGAGTCCCCAGAAACTGAACGAAAACGTGGAGCAGAAGCAGAGTTTCAGCTTCTTTCAGAACATCTGGAACCCTTTCCAGAGGGAGAAGAGGCAACAGCAGCAAACGCACGACGAGGAAGAGATGAGGCACTGATCGGAGCGTTTGTAAATCAGCCGAACACAGTTCTGTTTGGTCCAGAAGCATCTTTAGACAGAGGGATGCAATGAACTGTCTGTTAATGGTGCTTCACCGGTACATTGTGCCCCAGAAACACTCCAGGATCTGAACCGTAACACTAGTGAGAAGTTTCATATCTTAATTCTTCACAGATTATATCGAGTCACAACGCTCCGAACGGGAAGACTTTAAATGGTCATTATCACACAAGACGTCAGGTTTCCTCTGCACGATCCAGCTCGACTCGACTCAATTTTGGTACCTGGTGCTTTTCTAGAATAAGTTTTCCAATGTTGACGGGACTCTCTTTGGATCCTTTTATCAAGAACCAAACAGTCGCGCGTACGCACTTCAAATTACCTAAAGTGGTTTTGCAGGTTGCCATTTTTATTTCCGCAACTCCTGCATGCAAAATAGTTTCTTTCTCTATGACCTCAGCTGATCTTGCATACCACCACTAATGTTATTTTCTTTCGGTGAATGTATGTTTCAAGCACCTCTAGTGTTGGCTGCGCTTCACCATTTTTGGAAAAACGTATTTTACTGTCTGCTTTATATCGTGCTGTCTCCTCACTCTTTTTAAAGCTAAAACCAAGCCTTACCTTATCCGTTACAAGCCACATTTTGGACTTTGACGTAGATCAAAATGTCTGTTTTTACCCGGAGTATCTGCAGAATAAATCCATACCGGACGTGTTAGGATCCAATAAAGCTAGCCGTGATATCTCGGTAGCTATTGGTGGTAGCTTGGCTTTTTAAAAGAAGAAAGTACCAGGTACTATCCACACATTTTGCTGATGGGAAACCAAAAGAAAGTTGAGTTGAGTCGAGCCGTGCAGCGGAAACAAGTCTTGTGTTTCCTTTCTTTAGTTTAGGACCCGAACACATCTTTCAATCTGTTTTAAAGGTACGCTGTGGAGGTTATTTTAGTTTGTGATACGGAAAAAAGGGACCAACTCTTAAAAACATTGATTAAAAGTGCCATAAACTGCACAAGGTGCCTTTAATTTAACGTCGGGAACTTAGAGCACAATATTAAAATACTTGAATGGTTTATTTTTATAAGAACCACTCCAGTAGTTTTGAAAAAGCATGAATTCATCACTTTAAATTATTATTATTAAGAACATTTCCCAACGTGTCCAGTCTCCGTTCGTTGCTGCTCATTAAGACCCGTTTCCACCAGCTGATTTCCACGTGTAGATTTTTGTACAAAATATTTCAGCTTGAGAAAAGTTTTTTTAAATAAAAGGGAGAGGGAGATTTAAAGAGCGGCACATGAATCTGAAGAGGAGATTATTATGAATGTGTGTGTGCTATTAATCATAGGATATATAATATAGATACTATACGAAGCCATAAGAAATTAAGTTATTGTATACTTTAAAAACTATGAATGGACTGTGATGTTAAATAAAGGTCTTGCTGTTTACAGATCTGATAGCATTTGTCGAGATGCTTTTTATTGACTCAAATTCACCTCCAAATTCTCCTTTTCTACGAATATGTGTTGGGTTTTGAGCTTAACGATGTTGCGTTTTGCTACAGATCTGGAATCTGTGTTTTAAAAATAGGAATGTGAAAATACGAGTGTATTAGGACCATTGTAGGTTAAAACAAATACAAATAAGGAGCCATAGAAGGGGACGATAATCCAAGAAAAACGTTTTTAAAATGACATTTAAAAAGGATAAAACTCTGATATTCATTCAGATTAACTTTAATTCAAGTTGAAAAAAAACTCACAAAATGTTCAATAAAAAAAAAATTCTCTGACATAAAGTCCAAAATGTGCGATAAAGATCTAATGGTATATACAAAATACATAGATGAAATTAAATAATTGGATTTTGTTATATAAGAAGTATAAACATAATCTTTAATACATTAAAAAGTACATTTGGGGGAATTTTCTATAGTTTTTTGGCTTTTGCGCAACTTGAAACTAAAATAAATGCAGATTTGACACCAACTGTAATATGCTGTGTTTTATTGCAGCGTTTTTCCTGCAAATGTCTGGTGTTATAACCTCAGAGAATGTATCGAAGTTTTTGTGTACATATACGACTTTAATCTCTTGAATTGTTCCTTGAAATATGGATGTCTTTTTTTTGTTTTTTAAACCTACAATAGTCCTGATACCCCATCATAGAGACAGTTTTTACCTTCTCCTCTTCATACGTTTTCCTTTTTATATATTGTCTGTCAGTGTAAATGCTTTTTTTAAATGTACTTCTACTCCATGTGGTTTACTGTATCTTTGGCACAAGAGCGTATTTGTATGTAATCATTGTTTCTTTCTCCATTTTGAGTAACTGTAAAAAAAGATGTCCTTCATCATGGTTTCAGTGTCATTGTCAGCTGTGTGTGCAATAATAGGAATTATCATAACACGGCCTGTGTTTGTGTCGTCTTTTATTTCACACAACCAACAATGTGTAACTTACCGTTATTGTTGCATCTACAACGGATCAAATGCCTGTGTGACATAAACGTGGCCATGGCCTTACAGTATTTGGATGGGAAAGTGGAGATGAAGAGGAACGACGTACCACGCAGGCTAAGTACCGTTAGCATACCGTTAGCATACCATAACTGTCCAAAACACACCTCTTCAGAATGGCTTTTTAATGTGTGATAATAGTGTGTTGTTGTTTTAATATTTTAATTCAACTTTTTATATTTATTTCCTTTTTAATACCACTGTAAAGTGTCTATGAGCACCTGAAACAGCGCTTAGAAATTAAATGTATTATTATTATTATTATAACACAATGCTAAGTCACCAACTAGTGCTAAAATCACTGGCTATTGCTAAGTCACCAGATAACGCTCAGTCACCTGCTAGTGCTAAGTCATCGGCTTATGCTAAATCACCATCTGGTGCAAAATCACTCGCTATTGCTAAGTCACCAGATAACGCTCAGTCACCAGCTAATGCTAAGTCACCTGCTAATGCTCAGTCACCAGCTAATGCTAAGTCACATGCTAATGCTAAGTCACCTAAGTGACCGGCTAATGCCGGCACAAGCAAACTAGCTTGGTTGTCTATTTGACTCTAAATGGGACCATGCTATACTGTAACATCATGCTGTTTGGAAGAATATTTTAAACTAGTAATTAGAAATGTCCAATTTTCGGAATAAAATCACTAGATTGCTAACTATGGCGCGATCCTGTGATCTAAGCCTGTTGTTGTTGTTACATCAAACATGTTTAATATTATCAATATTACCTTTTTTTTTACCACCGGTACCAGCAAACTGCTATAGTCTGTAACCAGAACTCTATTAACTTCTCTTTATCTGTGAGAAGGTGTCTCTCTATGTGAGATTTGTTTTACTTTAATCCATGTTTCACGTATGAACTGAAGTAAAAAGATATGATTCTAAACTGTATTGAAGTGAACATGTATTGTTTGAACTGTTTTAAGTAATCCCATATATAATGTCTTCTCACTTACAACTCACTGACCCAGAGATCCTGTTACACACACATACACCTCCCTTTTCACCAGAGCACACACACATGTTCTTTTCAAGGTTCTTTCTGGGTATCATTATGTTCTTTCTGGGCTCATTATATCTGTATACAATGTTTAATTGTCTGAGAGTAACAGTTTATGTGAAATATTCCATGGGAAAATAAGGGAGTGGATATCGGGGCAGAGATAAGATTGACTTTGACCTTGTGGAACCTTAGAATCTCACGTTCTGGTCAGAACTCTGATTCGCTGTATTGAACCCGGCCAGAGGTGGATCCAACCAGTAAGGACACCTGGGGGATGTGAGCAGCTCACACAGCTCCTCCCCACGGACTCTCTGATTCGCTTCGGAGTAAAATAGGAAGGAAGAGTCGACCCATCTCCGCCCCAAAATATGGATATGAATACTGTTGTTTTTGTATGTAAAAATACTTCTGGTTTGCTGAAAGCTGGTCTAGAGACGGTAAACCGCATCACAAACCTGAAGTCCGTACTTCTCGTTTTCTGACTTGCTGGTCTGTCTACCTGTAAACAGCATCACAATCCTGAAGTCCGGAGTACTCTGTAAAACTTGTATACGTGTTTTGTTTCCTACTAGAGTAAACTCAGATAATTGTTATAACTTTTGATTCCGGTGTTTTCAATTCCTTTCTTTATTAAATAGAGATCAGCCTCATCCAACGAACGGCGCGTAGCAGAGGGGGGGCTATCAGCCACCGCCCATAGGTGTTCTGCTCCAACAGAACACCCAGACTCACTTCTATCACAGAGTCCTGGACACCTGAACAACACTGCAACAAAGTGAGTTAAAGTTAAAACACTGAAGGTCAGTAAAAACACGGTGTTCATCCGGCATGTGTGAAGTTACCGTTTTTGTATTGCATTTGTATGGCACTTTTAGGGGTGAACTGATCCACATTTCCAGAATTGGTGCAATATTCCTCACATGAGCATACATCTTTTGGATGTTCATTTTACTGCGAAAGTCAGACAATAAATATACTATGATAAGGTAATTGAAATGTATTAATGTAAGGTCAATAAACATTATTTATTAGGGATTTTCTTGCTTCCAACTATGTTTTTAGAGTGTTATTGGCTGAAAACTACTTTTTAAAGGTGGTACTGTAGTGCCGAGAGATAGGAGTTGGAGGCGGTGCATCGAAGGTGCAAATGGGAACTTTAATGAGCAGCAGAAACGGACATGTTGTCGGGTCGCAGCCCGGGAAGAGAAGAGAAAGCGAAAGGGAGGGCACGCAGTAAGTACCAACAACATATATGTCCGTGTGGAAACAGTATCCCCAACCTGTAGTTCCATGATTGGATTATGTAACCCAGTGTATGAATCAGTGATCACTACAGTACATTATTATTAAATAGTAAAGAATTTGCTAAAGAAGTATACACTATGAGTTTGTTTTTTTGTTTCACCTTTGTATTATTGTAGAAAATGTTTACATGCGTATTTAGAAGTGTGCATGAATGCTGACCTGTGTATCTTACCGTTAAAACAAACGGCCTCCCTAGAAACCAGCGTGTGAACACGATCCAACATAAAAAACCCAGACGTCACCAACATGCCGTCACTCGGCTCCTAAAACAGTCCCGTGCTTTGGCAATACGGTTGTTTTCCCGTTAGCGAATCAGCACCATGAATGGCCTTGGTGTTTCTACAGGAAAACATTCGTGTGTGTGTGCCGGCAGCAGCGCCCCTCCCTTTGGAAACATTACTGCATTACCCAGGAACTACACCAGAGCTAAAGTCCATTACATCAACTCTGCTGACTTCACTTTTAGCGTAGCTGCAGAGTGATTGCTCATAAGATGTCGTGTTTTGTGATAATAGGCGAACTCAATGAGCCATGAGTAAAGAGGCGGAGGCAGAGTCATGTTTTATGATCGGTTTTATTGTCCTTTTGTCTCTGGGTCCCTAAGGTTTTTCTTGTAAGCTGCAGGTATAAGCATCGGTCAGATTGTACAGGAAAAAAACAGGCAACAGATTATTTTTAAGCTTTTAAGGAATAGCTTGACATTATAAGAAATACATACAATCACTGAACGTAAATATACTCTCATGTGTATGCTGATGCAACCCAGTCTCACGGCATTTCGTGTTATAGTCACGAAATTAATTTAATCTATTGATTCGTGTTCACCAACACGATTTTCACCTTTTTTGTGTGTCACAGAACGATTTTAAATGCAATGTATTTCTATTGGTAGTATGTTTCGTGCCTGCAACACGTCTTTTTGTCCGGTCGGGTCTTGGAAGACCAGAAGCTGTGTGGTTCATAAAAACATGTTCTTACTCAATATCTTACCCTAAGCCTAACCCTATCCCTTTTATTTTAAATTGTATAATGTCGGAGTTTTTTTGCCGTCAGTGAGGAAAAGAAATGGCTCAGAGCCTCAGAATACTGACATCTGTATTTTATGGGCACGGCACGAAACATACTACCAATAGAAATACATTGCTTTTATCGTTCTGTGTGACACGAAAAAAATGGCGAAATCGTGTTGGTGAACACGAATCAATAGATTAATTTCGTGACTATAACACGAAATGCCGTGAGACTGTGTTGGCTTAATTATGAAGCTGGATCCAGTAGGTGGTTAGCTTAGCTTAGCAAAGAGACTGGAAACAAGGAGAAACAGCTAGCCAAACGTTTTAAAAATGCCCCGACCAGCACTTCTAAAGCCTATCAACTAACATTTTTCTTCCCAATGTAATTTGTAGACATTAGAGCTACTGATATGTGGATATTGTTACCGTTGGAAAGAGCTAGGCTAGCTAATCAGCTGCTGGTTTTAGCCTCATATTTAACACAGACAGAATCAACTTTGGTGTCAATCTGTCTTTCTGAATTGTACTTATTGTCCATTTCTTTAATCTGTACACAAGTAAAAACAAAATGTTCTATCTTTACAGGGAGTAAGAAGAATCAACTTTTTTCTCAGGCAAAAGCAGGAATTTTCTCACGTCTTTTGCAGTGAGGTTGCACTCTTAAAAATGTCAAACTATCCGTTAAACAAACTGACACTTGACACTGTTTGCAAACTGTTCAAACTTCCAATAACACAAGTAAAAGGAAACATCTCTTAGTTTTGCAATCCTGTTCTGTAAAATCACCTTTTCATTTCCCACTGTGTCTAATCATTACATAACGTGTGCAGCAGTTCTGCAGAGATAAGAGTGTCCGATAGTCCAGTGGCTTGTCAAATTTGAAGCCAAGCAGAGATGATGACCTGTCCGGACTGCGTACAGTGAGCTAATTCGTGATCAATGTGCACTTCTCTGATACCCTTACATGGAAGAACCCTTTGTTTTTTTTTCCAATGTGTTTCTAACAGTTTGCAGGTTGGCTGCAGGCCCGCTGGGTCTCTGCAGAGCTCAGATAGCGATCAATGAGCCGAACACTCAGCATCTGGCCCGATCCCATCCGTGACCTCAGCTCTCCCTACGTAACTCTGTGACAACAATGTGTGTACAGCAAAAACCTCACGAGGAAAATCTGCATGAGTTATTCAGAAGAGGTGAATCTTAATCTACTGTTGGAGCAAATACAGTGTTCCCTTTTGTTTAGTCTTTGCATAAAGATCTTTGCATCACGTGGTCATTAATGGGTAGTGTTATCAAACAAAATATGTTGAGTCCAAACTTTATGAGTTATGGTTGAGACTCAAATGTCTTCTGGACACTTGATTGTGCATCTAGCAAATGTTAAAGGTGGCACGATATCGTACAACGTGAATGGAAAGAAGCAACATTCATGCAATTTGAACATTTTACTTTGAATATGTAGTAATGAGTGTTGCAGCCACTTCAAGTTTTGGCAGCAAAACTTTCCAATCAGAAGATATAACAAGTGATTCCTGCACAGAAACATTCATATGGAGTTAGGTACCGAGTGCTGAGGTCACTAATGCTCTTTCACTATAAGAAACTACAGTATTTGTATCAAAAATAGCAGTTTTCAAGGCGCTAGATAGATATATATCGTGTGTATATCTGCACTGACGGCTGCTTGGTGCTAAGTCATGCTAAGATGAAGCCACACTCAGCAGAACTGTTTCTAATCATGCCAGGCGTTTTCTATTTCTGCACAGCGACTGGTTGTCTACATCGTCTTCAGTGCAAAATTCATACTTTATTTTTATTTTGACCACTGTCGTTATGTTATGTAAACCAAAGAGACTTGGATAGTTTGGCCGATAAGACAAGAAAAATAATAATGTCTACAGTATATCAAAAAATAGTCATAAACAGAAGTACATTTCTAGATACTAACATCCTACATACTTAGAAAAAACATAAACAAATGTTGGATTCTTTCCTTATTTAGGTGACGATGTTTGGTCCAACACGGTTGTATAAAAACATAAAATACTGGACGGTGTGATGAAGTACAAAGTACCAGTAGTAGCACCTTGTTACGTAGGGACGGAGAAGATCATTTTTGTAGTTGTGACTTGATTTCCTACCTGATGATCTCAGGATTTGATTCTTTGTGTAGGTCTTGAACAGAACAAGATAAGTGCCCAAAGTTTCCGTCGGACATGGAGTTGCTGCATTTCAGACGTGTCCTTTCCTTTCCTTTTCGATTGTCCGTTGTTTTACAGTTAGCTGTGATATCTTCCCACCCTCGCCTTGATTAAATAATAAGAACATTAAATATGTGTAAACTATGTGTTGATCCCACATTACAATGCAAGGTTTCCATGAACTAAAGCAGTGGTTCCCAACCTTTTTTTGATTCGTGAATCCCTTGAGCTAGTCGCCAATCTTACATTTTTGTTGTATTAAACCCTTTGTTATTGTATTTTACCCAACCTTTTATCCCGTGTTTGGAGCTCTGGTGCCGCTGCAGGTAGGCTGGCTTCAGACAATTATTTGCAAGGATAACAAAACCCATTGTGGCTGCGGTGGATCACCAGATCTAAACCATGAGAAATGTATTTGCCGGTGTTTCAGTGTTAGCCGTTAGCCGTTTTCTTTCACGTGTCTCTCCTAAAGCAGTTCTGCAGCCACGGTACCGGTAGATGCAGTTTGCCTCTACCTGACCATGCAAATAAAGAGCAGAGTGTACAGCATCATTAGATTAAGGATTTGTGCTGATCTGAGCATAAATGAGGTTTAACTGTATATTGCTATTCATGGTGCATCTCAGGTTCAAGAGTGATCCAGAGTTACTAATAATGTGTAATGCATTACTTCTTTTGAGTAACTACCCCAACACTGGTTACATTAAACACCAGGGAGGAACTGTTACCGCGGACACCAGGCTTACGAAATTGTATTTTTTTAATGTTTTATGCGTGGAAATACTATATATTGCAATCCCTAATCGTTTTACGGACCCCCTGCAATCCCCTCAACTACCCCTAGGTTGGGAACCACTGAAATAAAGCATCACAGTTTGTTCGAAATTCCTCCTCTCTCTCTCTCTCTGTGTGTGTGTGTGTGTGTGTGTGTGTGTGTGTGTGTGTGTGTGTGTGTGTGTGTGTGTGTGTGTGTGTGTGTGTGTGTGTGTGTGTGTGTGTGTGTGTGTGTGTGTGTGTGTGTGTGTGTGTTGTGTGTGTGCGTGTGTGTTTGCAGCTCAGTTTTGGCCCTTGAAGCAGTACACTCCGTACAGCTTGTGCTTTTTGTCTGGGAAGCCGCTGAATCGTACGGCGGCCTCCGTTGGGCTGCAGCGGCGCCGGGGGTTAGAGATCGGGTATCGAACGCTGCCGTCAGCAAGCCATCCCGCATCACAGCGGTCGAAACCCAGAAGCTTCCAGGCGGCGTACATCTGGCCCACTTTGGCGATCTGAGCGTCGTCTTTCTGACACGCTTGGACCGCCTCGTCGTAGGTCAGTTTAGACGGGTGGATCAGGTAGTAGAACCGCCCTGCAAAAAGACAAGGGCTCGTAAACACAATGACACATAACTTAGTTTTAACTTAAAAGAAAGAAGACGTTTGGTGATGAAGCCTTCGTCAATTATGCCCCAAAGCTATGGGACACCAAAGCTGTGGTGAAACAAATATAAAAACACCAAGAAGGTTGTTTTATTTATGAAAGTGTTGATTAAAACATTACTTGAATAAATGAAAGTACTTTAGTAACTAACATGTGGAACAGTATTACATTTATACTGTACATGTTTACACAGTGAGGCACACACATGGAAACATTAGATTTGATTTAGAATTTGATTTTTAAATCATGTCTTTGTAATCCTGATTGTAATCTTAATTGTAATCCTAATTGTATTGTGAAAACTATGTGTGAGGTGAGAGGGTGAGTTAGGAGGAAGGAGGAGAGGGGATTGGAGGAGGGAATTCATATTCATGTTTTTTTACAATCCTATTTGAAGTGAAGCTTCTTCTCCTCCTCCATCTGTTCCTCCTTGATCTCCCAGCTCAGTTGTCCCTGAGCCAGCTCGTCCCTCTGCTCCTCCACCTGTCTCCATAGTGTCTCCGTCAGATGAACCTTGGTCTCCCAGCTCTCTTGGTTCTGGGCCAGGTCTTTGGAGAACATCTTCTTCTGCTCATCCACATGGTTCTCCAGCTGCTTCACCTGCCTCTCCTTCAGTTGGACTTCCTTCTCCAGGCTCTGGTTCTTCTCGGCCGAGTCCTTTTCCTCATCTTCAACCATTTTTAATTTCGCCTCCTCCTGTTTAAATTCGGTCTCTCTGCTCTGGTGTTTCTGGGCCAGGTCGTCCTTCTGCTGGGTCACCTCTTTTAATTTGGTCTCCACCAAACCAAACTTGGCTTCGCAGCTCTCCTGGTTCTGGGCCAGGTCTTTGGAGAACATCTCCTCCTGCTCTCTCATCTGCTGCTCCACCCGTTTGAGTTTAGCCTCCAGCTGTTGAAACTCAGTCTCCCTGCTCAGGATGTTCCTGTCCAGGTCGTTCTTCTCCTGAGTCACTTCTTCGTATTTCTTCTCCATCTGTAGTTTCTCACTCTCCCAGATGTCGTGTTTCTCTGCCAGGTTCTTGGTGAACTTTTCCTCGCACTGAAGGAGTTCTTGCTCTCTTCTCTGCAGCAGGTTAAAGGTCACCAGGTTGCCCTTGTTGTTCTGGTCTGAGAGCTTCTGCTGCTGTGCCACCATGTCGTCCAGCTGCTGCTCGTGTTGGCTCTCTGCGGCTCCCATCTGCTCCTTCAGACGTGAGATGTCTGCCACACGGTACTGGATGATGTCAAAGAGCCTTTTATTGTCTTGGTCGAACCCTGAGTTCCTGTTACTCAGGATGTCCTCAAGACGTTAGACATTGTCTTTTTCTTTGCGCATCCTGTGGCCAAAGCCAGCCCTCTCCTGCCCTAAAGCCATGTGAAACTCATCCAGGCCATCATAAATGATGTCACACACACACACACACACACTTGCATGCAATCACCAACACACTACAACTACAACTCCCAGCATGCTCAGCGGCAGGAAACTACAAAGTGTAAAAGGGAAAATGTGATCAGTTTGTCCCACTTTGTGTCTTTATAA